TCATAGAGATCGCTGACTTCAATTGGTAAGGAGATGGTTCCTTCTGCATCTATGCAGTCTCTAGTGAAACCCGCCGACGGGGTCAGCAGGGGAGTCAGCTCGCTCCTGCTCAGGCGCATCCTCTCGAAGACGTCCCAATACGTGACATTGACACTGCTCCCCATGTCGACCAGAATCTGCCGCACAATGTCGTTCTTGATGTCCATGTTGATGACGAACTCATCTATGTGCAGCCCCGGGAAGCTGGGCGGATCTAGGGGTGAGCATTCGGTCGGTCGGTCAAATAACCGACCGATAACCGAATAACCGACCAAACTTTTTCACTCTAATAACCGACTGAAAACCGACCGATAACATCACTATAACCGACCGAAAAACGTAGTTCGGTTTCGGTCGATAACCGAATAACCGACAATAACCGACCATATATATTTTTTAAGCATATTTTTTTTGAAAAATTTGAATGCTTTAAATAAACATATTAGAAAAAATATTTGATACAAAGTTGGATGAAAACAATTGATTTTTTACACTACAAAACCAAATGAATGAAATAATTGCTCACATATAAATGCTTTTTCTCCATTCAAGAAATAAATAAGAAAAAATGAATTAAATTATCTCATAATAAAATTAGTTTTCTTACGCTGCTGGTAGCTTTGCTTGTGCATGAGTGTCATTTTATCTCTTTTGGGTCAACCACTAAATACTAAGGATGTTATTACTTGAACTGTAATTTGTCCCAGACCAGACTTGGATATTTATAAAATACAAAGAAACCAGATCAGACCAACAAATTACAATCCAAGTAAAAACATCCTAAATACATGAAATTTATTACAGAGTACAACACGAGGGATATCCTTAAATATTACTATCGTACTACATAATAAAGTAAACTTAAATATGACTAAATTTAACATGAGTATACCATTCATGATTACTATAATATAAAATTGAACACAATCATGCACATTAAAATTACAATTATAGTCATCAAAGTATGAAAAGACATACCCCGTATTTGTATCCATAATATTCAATTTGGTCATGTATTTGACATTATTTCTTAAAGTAATTATGATATGTTATTAAGTGAAACATCATAGCATACATGAAGTACATGCAAATGTTTATACGGAGTAGACTATACTTCGGTTTTCGGTTAACCGACCAATAACCGAACGTTAACCGAATAACCGAATTACCGACTTCTTTTAATATGTAATAACCGATGACCGACCGATAACCGACTTTTTCGGTCGGTTCGGGTATTGGTTTTCGGTTTTATCGGTTTTGTCAGTTATTTGCTCACCCCTATGCGGATCTGTTGGTCCAAAAGTGACGGACTCTATTTTGTTGTTCTTGGGGGGAGGAGCGGACACGGAAACCATATAGAGGGCCCGTTCAAACTTTTTCCTGTCACCTGGAGTATCCCCAGTTTATGAACCTCCAAAGATCACCTTGATCTCCATCTTCTTCTCGCCCTGGGGGTGAGGGAGCTCTCGGAAATTTTGTCCGCACTACGGTGATCCACGTCTTTTGGTTCGGCATCACGCCGATCATCCCTATGCCAGGTGTCGGGCTTCTTATTGGGGCGTGCCTGGTAAGGTTGTGCTGACCCTTTGACATACTCACCGAGGTGCCCCTCTGGATGAGGTCCTCAATGGCTATCTTGAGGTTGTGGCACCCGTTGATAGTATGGCCCCTTCGGTGGTGGTACATGCAGTAAGCCTCCAGCTGGCCTCCCATCCTCATTGTCGTATCCGTGGAGGGAGTGATGATCCCTCAGTCCTTAATGCTTTCATATATCTGGGCCACGGGAAGCACCAGAGGGGTGGAGTAGGGGCGACTGTCCTGTGGTGCATCGTAGTGCGCATTGTAAGGCGTTATCGGAACGAACCTTCCTAGCGCCTTCTTCTTTTTCTTCTTCTTCTTAGCCGTGATGCAGTTGATATCTTCCTCTGTTACGGCCTCCCCTGTCGTGACTGCCCCCTATTGCGGCCTCCTCTGCTGCGGTATGCGACGGCCTGTCCCTGCTGCCCGACGCTAACTTGAGCCCCAAATGTCTGCTGTGGTGGTGAAGACTCTTGTTGGCGATTAAAAAGGGCATGTAGTTCCGCTTCCATAAGTCTCGGGTGTAGGATGTGAGGCGGAAAATTATCATGGAACAAGGAGATGGTGCCCATAACAGACTCATACTCTTGTCCCAATCCAAGGAGTGTACTTTGCAATAATTCTTTGTCAGATACAGGAGAGTTAATTGTAGCTAAAGCATCAACCAATTTTTTAATGTCACGTAAATAATGCTCCATATAGACTAGTTTTCTTTCTTTTTGGTATTAGAAAACAGGCGTTTGAGTTCCATTGCTCTAGGTAGATTCACAGACATAAATCGAGATTGCAAACGTTCCCAAATACCAAATAAATGTTTAATATCATGCACATCAGCTAATATATCACGAGTGAGAGTGGCAAACAACCAAGAACGATTTGTTTGATCCATTCGTAGCCAATGATAATAATCAGTAACGATGTGATGAATATAAAAACCATGGTGTACAGGGGGGGTACCTGAATGGTGTCGTCTACAATACCACAAATGCCTTGGGAGACGAGGAAGGACTCAAACTGAGTTGCGCCACATAAGGTAGTCCTCAACCGCTTTGAGTTTATTAGTCACAATCTGGCAGACATTAGCAATTCCGTGAGAGGCTGATTGTGCCAGTGACGTCATAGGAGAGCCAAAGAGGGGATTATCGTGGGCGGGCCAGATAGTACCCAAAGAAGGAGGTGTTGACTTGTGGCTGCGGACGTGGTGCTACCGGAGAGATCACGGGGCTAGCAGGGTGCCAAGGGAGCGGCGACGCCAAAGTTTCGATTAGGGAAAAATGAGGTGCACCATGATACAGACTAAAGAGGACGTCATGGGGAAGGAGGGCAGCATCGGCGTGGAGTTGATCCACGCGTGAACCGTCATCGTCAGACCAGACCAGACAAGACTTAAACAGACTGGACAAGACCAGTTTAGACCAGACTAGATCTGACCTGACTTTTGTAGTTATAAATTACACAGAGACCAGACATTTACCAGACCAGACCAGTTAAGACCAGACCAGACCAACAAATTTCCGTACAAGTAAAAACATCCTTAAGCATCTGTACTAAAAAAGTATCATATAAATACGAGTTAATTCCCTAAATAGGTCAAAAAAGTGACCATATAGCACAAATAGGACTACATTTTTTATTCCCCATAATAGGACTATTTATGTGTTTTTGGACAAATATACCCTTGAGCCTTTTGAAATGTCTTAATTAATAATAACATCATAAAAATAATAAAAACGTAAAAAATAATAAAAAACGTCAAAAAGTATTAAAAATTCATAAATATTTATAAAATAAAAAAATAAAAAAAATTTAAAAAAAATGTATAAAAAACCGCGGCCTCTTCCACCCCAGCACCACCGGCTCCCATCACCGGTTGAAAAGCTGCCAACATTTTTAATAATGCCATAATAATGGTAGATTCAATGAGAATTTTGGCATTATGATGAGTAATAATGCCATTTTCTTTGCATTTTCAGAAAACAATGGCATTTTTTACAAATAATGACAAAATTTTCACTGATCGGAGATATCCATAGTTTTTTTATTTTTTATGGGTTTTTTCAAAAAAGAAAAAACTGCCAACAATTTTAGTAATGTCATAATAATGGCAGATTCAATGAGGATTTGGCATTATGTAGAGTAATAATGCCATTTTCGGGGAAAAATGGAATTTTTAATAAAAAGTGGAAGGATTTTTAAATGTTTTATAGATTTTTACTATTTTTTTTTTTTTAAAATTCAAAAAAAAAATAAAATTTTTAAATTATTTTGTTTTTTTATTATTTTTGTGCGATTTAAAAAAAATACGATTTTTATTATTTTTTAAGATTTATTATGAATTATAACATTTCATTATGAAATAATACCCTTAGGGGCAATTCTGGTGGGAATGAATTGTTTAGTCCTATTTGGGATGGCTAAAAATGTAGTGGTTCTATTTGTGCATTTTAGGTTATTTTTATTCATATATAGAGCAATTAGTATATAAGTACGCTTATTTTCAAAACCTGATCAATTTGGTCATTTGTTCAGTTTTTGACCTATAATACCGGGTTTTTATATAAAAAATCTAAAAATGTTGTTAAAATTTGAGGAAACATATATAAAAATTATGAAAATTATAAGAATGTCGAAGTCAACATATTTTAATTATTGAAGTTATTTGCATATTCTATATCTATTTAAAAGGTTTTTACATTTAATATTTTATATTTTTACTTTTTCACTTTATTTTTTCAGTTTTCTAATTTTTTATTTTTTATTTTAACATTTTTAAATTATTTATCTATTTTTACAGTTATGCTATTTTTTATATTATTGTTATACTTCGTACTATTTTTCAAATTTACATGAATTTTTATAAGATTTTTCAATAATCTTAATATTTCTTTTAAATAACTTGTTAATAGCAAGTAAAAATGACTTGATTGATTGTATTTAAAAATAAACATACTTATATGATGCTTTTTTAAATAGAAAAGCTTATGTGATGAATTGCAAATATTAAAAAGATCTATTTGACTCTTTTTTCTTTAAGATAAGAAAAACAAATGGAAGCAAATTTTAGAGGTCGTTTGGAACACTGTTTTTTGGCTTATCGGGCTTATCAGCCAACTTTTTCACCAAACACGTAAATTTTTGCTTTCGCGCGCTGAATTGTGTAATAAGCAGTAAAAGTAAGGTTGTAGTTACTTTTCTGGCTATATTGCGTGAAATTACCGTAGATGACAATTTTAGTTATTTTTACATATATTTTTTTTCTTTATTTCATTAATAATATACTACGTATATTTTAAAATTAATTTTTCTTAAATGAATAGAATCAACCAATACTGTCACTTCAGCCAGAACTCCACAAATTTTCAATAGAATCGGCCAAATCAGCCAATTTTCGTGGTATGAAAATGTGAGCTCATATCATCACGGGCTCTTAGTTTTAAAATATATACGGTGGGGTGCCTCAAAATGTGAGCTCACATCATCAGCAGCATCTTTCATGTAGCTATCCTCCAATTCAGGCCACCATTATTAAGGTTCAGTTCAAGTTCTCTCTCTATCAGGTATATTTTCTTGTTGAGCATATCAGGTATATTTCTCTATGTTGTTGAGCATATCAGGTATATTTCTCTATGTTGTTGTGCATGTGCCTCCCGGCCTTTGAATTCTGATTATTTTTTAACCTTTTGAAAGCTGCTGGTTCTTTTTGCACCCTTTTCCTTCAACTTTTTACTAAAAGATCCCAACTTTTCGGGAGTTGAGATTTGCAGACCTCTTTTCTTGATCTTGATTTGGAAGCCTCTTCTACCTTTTTTCATTTTCAACTAAAATTTCTCAATTTCTTACATATAGATTGTTGGGTTGATTACCGATTCTCAATTTGGCTGCTAAGTTGAGTTACTTGTAGTTAAATTAATAATGCTACCTGGGGAAGTTGAAGTTGCGTTTCATGCTTTTTCAGTTTGGTTGCGTTGTTACTCCTTTGTCCCATATTTATCACTTAATTTGGCTAGTAGATTAAGAAAGTGAAAATGGTGTGGTTGAAATTTGTTTAGAGTACAAGGAAACAATATAAACCACAAATTCATTGCCTAAAATGGGAGTTTATATTGGTACGGATGGAAAAGGAAAGAAAGAGTGTTTTGGGGAGTGAGGGATAATGTTTTCGAGATATCCCACACTTTTACTAGGTTCAAGTCTCATTGCGATTTGTTTGTTTTTTAGATTCTCATGTTTGAGGCAACCCTTTTTGAACTAGTTCACGCTGATTTGTCTACCCTTTGGCCAAACAATTTGGGTTGGGCATTGGTTTCCCAAATCTATGTTTACTGTACTTGTATTGATCAATACTTCTTATTCACAGTTTAGTTTTTTTTTATTCCCTCTATTCTTGATATACTTGATACAATGTATAATAATTTAAGAAATCATTAGTCATTACTATAATCAGAAGACAGAGACATCTTGATTCCCCCATCCCACAACAGTACCAAGTATAAGAGTATCAAACAAAACCATGATATATAAAAGGATGCGGGTAAGGTTTTATTTGCTACATGTTAATGATATTTCAACTGTTTAGAATTTAGATCAATGAAGTATGCAAATCATAATTTTCCTTGGTACCAATTCACAAAATTGTTATGCATTGACCAAACAAGATGTTAGGTGCCTATGATATATGAAACATATTTCAAGATTCTTACCAGTGGAATACAAACTTAAATCATGTTATATGAAGTTTGTCTAATTGCAAAGCTCAAATGAATACGACAACAACAACAACATCCAAGTTAGTTCCAAAAGATTCTGGAGTCAGCTAACATGAAAAGCTCAAGGAATATAACAGAAAAATGACAGTTGTTATAACTGGCAGTTCTGTTCAGTAATATATTAGTGTGAAATCCTGGAATCTAATGATGGGTGTAATAAATGTGCAGGGAGGAACGTATTGTGTGTGAATGGTAGTAAGTCAATCATGAGTCAGTCGAAAATCATACATAGAGTTGATAAATATGAAGTGGGAAGGACAATTGGTGAGGGAACATTTGCCAAAGTTAAGTTTGGAAAGAATTCCGAGACAGGAGATCCGGTTGCTCTCAAGATTCTTGACAAGGATAAAGTCCTCAAACACAAAATGGCAGAACAGGTACATTTTAGACTAATTTTTCCTTTGTTTACTCAATAATAGTATTGTTGTGAAGAAAGAGCAATCCTTAATATTCTTCTACAGTTCTAACAACAGTAAAAACAGAGTAATATGTGAGTTTTTAATGGTTCAGCTTCTCTAGTTAGTTTATAGTTTTCTGATGTTATAAGTTTGATTATATAGATCAAGCGGGAAATTGCTACGATGAAGTTGATAAGTCATCCAAATGTTGTTGGCTTGTATGAGGTTATTTTTCTTCTGTATATGTTGTTGTTGCTGTTATTGTTGTTATCATAATTAGTAGCGGTGCTAGGATTGATATTATTGTTCCGTGGCAAGTCCTCGTGCTGCATCCCAAAGGACCACATCATGTACCAAAAGATAAGAAGCTATTATTATTATTATTGTTGTTGTTGTTATTACTATTATTATTATTATTATTATTAAAGTTAATATTGTTATTACTACAGTTACTAGAGTAGTACTGCTCTACTATTATTACTATATTATTATTATGCCCCATTTCTTAGTATAGGAACAACCTCCAGGTGTTATAAAAATGTGTGGGCATTTTTTCATTCATTCATACAAGTTAGTTTTGAGAATATGCAAAGCTCCAAAGTGTTGATAGTTTTCTTTAATGCCAGAGTGACATATTGGCAGAGAAAAAAGAACAGAGAAACAGTCTTTAGTATTGCCTGCTACATTAAACTCTTCGATCCAGCCTTGTACTCTTGATTTATACATGTCATTTAACTAAGTCCAGACCATTTTCTGTCAGGTCATGGGAAGCAAGACAAAAATATACATTGTTCTGGAATTTGTTACTGGAGGAGAGCTTTTCGACAAAATTGTATGCAGATCCTTCCCATTTTACTGCTGTCATCTGACAATTGGACTCACCCTTGTACTTCACTTCTTATTATATTATTAAGGTAAATCATGGACGTATGAAGGAAGGTGAGGCAAGGAAGTATTTTCAACAACTTATTAATGCAGTTGATTATTGCCATAGCAGAGGAGTCTTTCACCGAGACCTTAAGGTTTTTCTTTTCTGTAGTGCTCTACCAAGTACTAAATAATCAAGAAAGTCTTATTCCTTTTTAAAGTATATTTTTACTTTACCCTATCTTTAACTTCATTATCTGTTTGGTCACATGTGCAGCCGGAAAATTTATTGTTGGATGCTAGGGGTAACCTCAAAGTTTCTGACTTTGGACTGAGTGCTTTGTCACAGCAAGTCAGGGTATTGAACTCTTTCTCTCTCTCTCACTAATCCTTCTCATATTAAAGTTGCTACAATTCATCCCCTAGTAAACTTTTTTTTACTGCACCATGTTTGGGTGATGATTAAGTTTATTCTTCTCTAATAAGTGAGTTATTACTAATAACTCATGAATTTATGTACCATACATTTGTCATACTCAAATTTGATTTTTTGAAATTCATTCTAACTTTCAGTATAGTTTTAAACCATATAAAGCAATTTAATAATTATTAAAGGATAATAACACATAAATTAGTTTAAATAATTACCATTTACATGCTTATAAGCTATACACAAAGTTCGAATCATCATCATCATTACCCACTGAAGCACAGAGAGACTGTTTGCGTATGATCCATAGTGAAAATCCCGTCGCAAATTGCATGGACTGACTGCTACTTCATAACAAAGAAGCGCAACCAGTTTAGTAAGCCATTTTGCTTTATTCCATCATATTCCCAAACAAAAAAATAGCGAGTCTTTGGCTCCATTGCAAATGATGGAAAATATACACAAAGTTCGAATGAATTTCAAAAATCAAATTTGTGTATGACAAAGTTCGATACATAAATTTAGAGAATAAACTAAAAGGAGTTATGTTGACCACATGAATAGTACTATCTATGAAATTTATAGGGACAAGGTGATAGGATCTTCCAATTATCCAGAACAATTAACAGGAAATTAACAAGAAACAACTGAAATTTGTATTGATGAAGAAGATCGATTACAGTAACAAGGCCGAAGCCCCCAGATGAGCCGAAGCCCCCAAAGAGAGAGAAATAGTTCTCAATCTTCCCAGTCCCAAGACCTAAGTCCCAAAAGCCTCCCAATTATTCCCACTTTACATCTATTTATACTAGAGACCCCCTTATTACTAATATTATTATTATTACTTCTAATATTATTCTAATAGGTAGGTCCCTATCAATACTCCCCCCCTAAACATCCACCTTGCCCTCAAGGTGGGTGATAGGAAACCGCTATGATCTTCCGCTTCCTCTTCTTTCTTGCGCCTCTTCCTTCCCAATACTTGATTGGTTGATGGCTTTGTAGCTTCATTACTTGAACTTTCCAGCTCACATATGTTTCTGCAGACTTCAGATTTTCCATATCCATAGATGTTTTCATGCTTTCCTGAGCTATAACACTTACAACAGTAGCAGAATTGGTGTTCATGTCCTGAACCTCCACTTTAATGTGCTCATCAGAATTGTGATTGACCTTCAGAATGCTTTTCAGCAATACAATGCCATCCACTGCTGTACTTTGAGTACACCTAACATCATTCCACCAAACAGCTCCCATAGGCATATTCCATCTAGATCTTTCTACCACTGCTTGTTCCTCAAAAGGAGAATCCATTTTTACCTGATTTCTTGAAACAAAGAGTGGAAAAACCCAAACTATCTTCAAAATTGCACCATTTTTGCTGGTATGAAACAACACAGAAACCAAGCAACACTTTGTGGATGAGAATACAAAATCAGTTCCTTCTTCACCAAGTACATCAGCCGTAATTCTTTGGTTCCCTCGTTGCCTGTCCGATGAAGGCAGTCCGCTTTGTCTAAAAGAAATCCAATCTTTGCTGTTGTTATTCAGGTTGGAGAAATCATGAAGCCTAGAATCCCAATTGATGTAGCAGCATTCTTTGCGAGTTTTCCAAACAACAACTTCTATGAAGATAAAAGAATAACCCTTCATTTTCCTTGGTATTCTTCTGACCATAGCAGTAAGGAACAGGACAATACTTCTATATTCTTTGCAAGGCTTTAGGTTCCTTTCCTCTAGATTATCACAGCATCCTTTGATAAAAGATAACTTTGCAGAAGTTAAAGCAGACACTCTCCGGTCATCATTTAGCTGTTGAAGGAAATAGTTTGACCAAAATGAGGTTATAGAAACTCTTTCCTCAGTTCCAACCATACTTGATTCCTCATCTATGTCTGCTGAATTCATAGAATGTTCAGTTTTGAGTTTAGCTTTGACACCCTGGACTCTTATCCCCTTTTCACCCGTAATAACTTGATCCTTGCTGTCAGAATCAGCAACATACTTCTCCATAGACACATAATTCACCAATTCTTTTTGAATATTTTTCATAGAAGTAACCCCTTCCCATCTAGGAATATCAAACATGTTTAATCCTTCCAATGTAATATCTAATGAGTGACAATACATTCTTTCAGTCTTGAAGACATTTGGCCAATTCATCTGCTGTACAATATGAGAAGAAATAGCACCTTCCTGAAGAAGCTTGAACCTATCGATTTCAAGGTCTGACTGGTCCAGATCGTTCTTGGAAATTATCTTACGTCTGGGGAATCCAACAACTGCTCCATATTCAGGATGAAGATTAACGGATGGTTTATCATTGCGTTCCTCTTCTCCATTGGTGTGCTGCTGAATAGCCAACTCCTGCTGCGACTCTGGAAACTCATATAGAGATTTCGAACTAGGGTTTTCTACTCGAATTGAAGCCAGAGGACCGTAAGAAGTATCTTGTGACTGCGACGGACCTATGTTTTTCGAATTCGTGCCGCGACGTACAGTCCTTGACCTTCCTCGCCGACGATTTTGCTGCAGCTTGGGCTTCTTCTTCAGGTTTGAAGGCTTTTCCTTCTCCACTTTTTCGCCCTTCTCTTTCTCCACTTTTTGGCGCTTCTCTTTCTCCACTTTTTCGCGCTCATTCTTTTCTGCGAGCTTCACCATTTTTCCGCTGGAAGCCTTTTGCGACATCGAACCAGAGTGAACAGTTCGCGACTGATATGAAGCGGGAAGAGCTTGTGGCGGGACCGGGCTTGGGCCCACTTCCGTGGGCCGGTTACGGGCTGTCTTTATAATTATTTATTATTATTTTAAGTTAATGTTATGTTTTGGTTTGGGCCTTTTATTAGTAGAATAGTTAGTAGAGTAGTATGGGCCTAATTAGGATTTAATTAATTTGGGCTTGATTAGGGTTGCTTGTAGAAGGCTATTTATACCCCTCGCCAGGGTTCATTCTGATCATCTTGGAATAAAAGTTTGGTTTAGCCCTTTGGCTCTGGGCAATGATATTAATTTATCGTTGATTATCTAGGCAACGGTTCACCCCGTTGATTTTACTTTTCTGTTCTTATCAATTGGTCCGACCTGCCGGATCCCCGTCCCGCCAAGATGACAAGAACTCAGAACGAACGACTGACGGAATTGGAGGCCGAACAGGCCCTGGTCAATCAAAAGCTCGATTCACAAGGAGAGAAACTGGATGTACTGGCTCGGCAACAGGAGGAGCAGGCCACCCGGCTTGCGGAAATCGCAGAATCCCTGGCAGCAATCGCAAAGGCCATGGTACCGCCAGCGAAGTCTCCAAGCACGACCATCGAGAGCGGCTCCTCCGCCCACATCGCGACTGCTTTCACCGACGAGGGCAGACCGCTTAGCGCATCCACGTCACTGCTTCCCTCATTCGACGGTGAAGACCCAATTGGGTGGCTGGCAAGAGTGGAGCAGCAGTTCGAGCTCAACAGGACCCCACCGGATAGACAAATTGCAGCGGCTAGGGTTTCTATGGAAGGGGCAGCCCTTTTTTGGGTGACGTGGTTGAAGGCGCACAAACCCCACATGTCCTGGGAGGAATTTAAGCAAGCCTTGGTAGCCAGATTTGATTCCCAATATCAAGGAAACAGGTTTGAACGGTTGTCGGGCATCAAACAAATAGGGTCGGTGGAGGAGTACAATACCTTGTTTGTTCAATTGGCTAGCCAAGTTCCGGGATTGACTGACGATCATTATCTGGGCTATTACATGAGTGGACTTAAGGAGGAAATCCGAAGTTCGTTGCGTTTATTACGGCCAGATAACTTGGAAACGGCCATGGAATTAGCTCGCGATGTGGAGCATAATCTGTCCGTCCAAAATGGAGGTAGTGGCAGCCCGAATTATAATTCTTCAAGGGTACGTTCCAGCAGCTTTTTAATGGAAAACACGAGTCCTCCGTTAACTGCCAGTGGTGGCGGCTTACAAGGATCAAGGGGCATCTTTGCAAAAGATAGTGGACAGCCTCCGGGGACGAAGTCAGGCCTGTCTGGGCAGCCTATGACACGATCTCAGTTCACCCGTCTTGCGCCAAAAGAGTTAGCAGATTTGAGGGCAAAAGGATTATGCTTTCGGTGCAAGAAACCATTTACACCAACACATGACTGTCCCTTTAAGCAGCTGCGGGTAATGTTAGCTGAGGAGGATGAAGAGTTGGACCTCAAGCAGCATGAATTCTGTGAAATAACCGGCCAGGAAAGGGTTCAGGAAAGAGAAGAAGAATATTTTCCAGTATATTCTATGTCTGGAAATTTCAGTTCCCGATCCGCGAGTTTTCAACCTTGAGGACAAGGTTATTTTAAGGGGGATGGATTGATATGAAGCGGGAAGAGCTTGTGGCGGGACCGGGCTTGGGCCCACTACCGTGGGCCGGTTACGGGCTGTCTTTATAATTATTTATTATTATTTTAAGTTAATGTTATGTTTTGGTTTGGGCCTTTTATTAGTAGAATAGTTAGTAGAGTAGTATGGGCCTAATTAGGATTTAATTAATTTGGGCTTGATTAGGGTTGCTTGTAGAAGGCTATTTATACCCCTCGCCAGGGTTCATTCTGATCATCTTGGAATAAAAGTTTGGTTTAGCCCTTTGGCTCTGGGCAATGATATTAATTTATCGTTGATTATCTAGGCAACGGTTCACCCCGTTGATTTTATTTTTCTGTTCTTATCAGCGACTCCTTCTGCGGCTTGGTTAGCGGTGGTGACGCACTCTGCTTGTCAGATAGACGATGATGCCTGGTGTTGCTCGATCGATCTCCAGGTTCCTTGCGAAGCTTCGGTTCTTGATGCGACGTACCTGAAGTGTGCGACCTGTTCTCTTCCGACTTTCCAAAACTAACTGACTTTCGCGAATGACGCGAATGGTGAGAGTGCGAAGTATGATGCGATGCTGATGAGGCATGCGATCTATTTCGCGATCGATCTTGATTTCTCGCATCCAATCTGGCGATCATCGTTGTCAATATCTCCATAGTTCGTTGATGATTCCTCTTCAAGTTATCCCATCGTGCTTCCATATTTGCGCGCGTCAGGACATCCACAGTGAATCGATGACTCTGATACCAATGATAGGATCTTCCAATTATCCAGAACAATTAACAGGAAATTAACAAGAAACAACTGAAATTTGTATTGATGAAGAAGATCGATTACAGTAACAAGGCCGAAGCCCCCAGATGAGCCGAAGCCCCCAGATGAGCCGAAGCCCCCAAAGAGAGAGAAATAGTTCTCAATCTTCCCAGTCCCAAGACCTAAGTCCCAAAAGCCTCCCAATTATTCCCACTTTACATCTATTTATACTAGAGACCCCCTTATTACTAATATTATTATTATTACTTCTAATATTATTCTAATAGGTAGGTCCCTATCACAAGGAGTATGTAGGCCAATATTCTGGCATTTTCACTTCATTCATGGAGAATTTGTAATTAACTATGTAGCTTCTTTGTTTCAAGTAAATTATCACATAATATCATAGACATTATGTATTAAACAAACCTGAGGTGGGCCAGGTCCTGTTAGTCCCCACAGCTCCTTCAGTGTTAGTATTCCTTAATAGAAATTAGTTACTTTTTTGGTACCATTTATGCTATTAGGGAAGTATCATCGACCAGATTTGATGACCTACTGATAGGATCCTCCAGAAAATATACAGAAATATCAAGAAACAAAATGGAAAACTGAATTGATGAAGAAGATGAATAGTATCGGTAACCAAGGCCGAAGCCTCCCAATGAGCCGAAGCCCCCCAAAAGAGAGAGAATGATCTCAATCTTCCCAAATCCCAAAGACAAAGTCCAAAACCGCCTGCTCTTCTTTTCCAGCCTATTCTATTTATACTAGACTTATACATTTTATTATTATTATTATACTCTATTGGGCCGGGTCCCTAACATTTGGGCCGGGTCCCTAACAATTCTCCCCCCTAAACATCCACCTTGCCCTCAAGGTGGGTGATAGGACACAGCCACAGTCTTTATCTTCTCTTTCATCCTAGCACCCCTTCCTCTCCAATACTGATTTGTCTGCTGGGCCTTTAGCTTTACTACTTCCATCTTTCCCTCTACGTATTTCACAGTATAGTTCCATAGAGGCCAGAAAATTTGATCCAAAACTTGGATTCCTGCAGGTTTTTGGAAGACCCAATTGCAGCTTGCTGTAACATCGGGGACAGCTACTTCATGCCTTTGAACACTTCCTCCTTCAACGTCCTGTTCACTAGATGAGTCCTCTCCTTGTAGAATCACCTTCTGCCCTTGTATTTCCCATTTGAAGGTCTGACTTTGGAAGTTAATCTCCGTGTCTCCCAAACTTGTTAGCCAGTCCATTCCCAAGACTAAATCCGTGCTCCCCAGCTCCAATAAGTAATAAGTTTGATGAATGCCAATTCCTTGCACATTCAAATCTATACCTGCACACCTGCCACCAATTTGAATACATTCCCCATTCCCTAACTGCACCCTATTCCCTTGAAAAGGAGTATAAGGAATCCTCCACTTTTCCACCAAGTTTAGGGACATAAAATTGTGTGTAGCGCCTCCATCAATGAGTACATTTACTATGCTTTCACCTTCATGCCATTTCAGTTTACCTCTCACCTTAAAGATTTTCACAGGGGTTATCTCTTTCTCATCACTTAAAGAAAACTGCATGGTCTTCAATTCTAGAGGTGTGATCTTACCCCTGCCAGATTCCAGTGATTCAAATTCAGAATCAGCTTCACCCTCCGATTGTTCCATTAAGGTTATCTTATAATTTTTCATCTTGCACACATGTCCCCTTCCCCAATTCTCTCCGCATTTGAAACATAGTCCTTTCTTACTTCTTTCAAGCAGTTCTTCTTGTGATAATCGGGGGTTTGTAATCTGCTGAACTGAGTTTGAAGATTCCTGCTTCTTCATATCATCAAATGAATAGTTGCCAGATGAATTCTTGGTTGTGTAGCTAGAACTCCCTCTACAACCATCTCCCCATTTCTGATTTCCATTCTGCACCTTCTTTCTTTCCTCCTCTTTATTCTTGACATACAAGGTTTCAAAATTCTTGTCCTCAATCCTTGTTGCTGTGTTCATGACTGCTGCTAATGTTCTGGCAGAATGCAGCTTCAGCTCAGCCCTAACATCACGCTTCAAACCATTTAGAAATGCTCCTATCAAAACTTCCTCAGTTAGATGCTTTTGTGATGCCATGGCCACTTCAAACTTATTTCTGTAATCTGCCACGGTTCCCTTCTGCTTCAAGCTAAACAACGGCCCCAGAGGATTCTGCACCATTTCAGGCTGAAATCGCTGAGTTAAATCTCTGGTAAACTGCTCCCAGGTTTGGTGTCGTGCTTGGCCTTCCCACCATTGGAACCAGCTCAGAGCTTGGTCCTCCATAGCAACTACAGCAACATCAATTTTCTGTTCCTCTTCAGTTTGATTCAAGCGGAAGTATCGGTTCATTCTAACCAGCCAACCAAAGGCGTCTTCCCCCTTGAAAAGAGGTAAATCAATCTTTCTGCCTATCGGTTTATGATATCGATGATACCTGTGGTGATCGCGGTGTTGATGTCGACGTGAAGGAGAATAGTCGGAATTGTTTTCTGATCCCTCTGGACTAGCTGACTGTCGCGAACGATGATGGTGAGTTGAACGATGATGGTGAAGTGAACGATGATGGTGGCGACGCGGTGGTGAATAGTTGTCATTCCCTTCTGATTCCTCAGATCTCGCTGAATGTCGCGATTGGTGATGGTAATGCGAAGGGTGATGGTGAGGCGAATGGTGATGATGCGAAGTACGATGCGAGGTAGATGATCGATGCGATGCAGATGATCGGTGAGAGAGGCTTCGTGATCGACTAGCGAGGTTCTTCTGAAATTCCGCCAAGTTCGCTTGCATCGTCGCTTGCATCGATGTCTGAATCGAGGCCAATTTCTCGGCCAGGTTGTCCGCCAGGTTACTCTGCAATTCACGCATCCTCCGATCCAGTTGCTCTTGCAGTTCTCTTTGATTTCTTCCAATATCCACCATGCTTCGCTCCACCTCATTCATTCTGGCTTCCATTTTGGCGCGCGTATATCTCATCCAGCGATCGAACACTGCTCTGATACCAATTGATAGGATCCTCCAGAAAATATACAGAAATATCAAGAAACAAAATGGAAAACTGAATTGATGAAGAAGATGAATAGTATCGGTAACCAAGGCCGAAGCCTCCCAATGAGCCGAAGCCCCCCAAAAGAGAGAGAATGATCTCAATCTTCCCAAATCCCAAAGACAAAGTCCAAAACCGCCTGCTCTTCTTTTCCAGCCTATTCTATTTATACTAGACTTATACATTTTATTATTATTATTATACTCTATTGGGCCGGGTCCCTAACATTTGGGCCGGGTCCCTAACACCTACTAATATAGTGTTATGTTCACATCCAAGTAGAAATTTCTGTATAAAAAGTAACAAAAAGAAAATATGGTGATCTTGCTTTTCTAATGACCTTTGTATTTAACAAAAAAGTGTTTGTCACACTTACATTGAAGTTTAATTTGTCTTTCCAATAATTACTAAAGTAGTTTAACAAAAATCTCGATATCACTAGACTGCAACCATTTTACAGTTTAACTTGGCAGGAGGATGGCTTACTTCATACAACATGTGGAACTCCCAACTATGTTGCTCCAGAGGTATAAATAAACAAATCCGAGATTAAAAAAAAATGAAATGATACAAACTTTACTAGAATGCATTTGCTTATTAGCTCCCTGCATAACACATTCATTTCATAGGTTCTAGACGATCAAGGGTATGATGGGTCAACTGCTGATCTGTGGTCGTGTGGAGTTATTCTTTTTGTATTGCTTGCCGGTTACTTGCCTTTTGATGATTCTAACATTGCGAACTTATATAATAAAGTTAGCACCTAAAATCTTGATCAGAGCAGTTACGATCCCTCCTTTGACTTTTGTTTTTGTCTCTTCATGAGCTTTATTACCTTTTACGATCCCTCCTTTCAGATCTCATCTGCTGAATTTACTTGCCCTCCTTGGTTCTCATTTGGTGCCATGAAGCTTATTACCAGAATCTTGGATCCTAATCCCAGTACCGTAAGCTTATTATTGTTAAGTCACACCAAACAAATGTAGAAATACTAAAAATAGTCAAATACAAATGCTCCATAACACTTTGAGGTTACTCCTCTTATAAGGTATGATGTTGACCTATGATAAAATCTTAGATCTTAAATAAGTCTTTTAAGTTATTCCTATTAAGTTATCCAACATCGAACATAAAAGATATTGGGTTACTTCTACTATAAAATATAATGTTGATTGGATGAAATTTTAGGTCTTAATAAATCTCTTTTTTTCTTTATCATTTTTATTTAACCATTTCTTTGTAAACTATGCAGCGTATTAGCATCCCTGAAGTTTTGGAAGATGAGTGGTTTAAGAAGGGTTATAAACCGTCTGTTTTTTATGAGAATGAAGGTGCAAATCTCGATGATGTTGAAGCTGTTTTTCAGGATATTGAAGTGAGTTTACCTGGGAAAGAATGGAACTTTTCTTGATTAAATGATGTCATTGTAGCTCATGAGGTTCTCTTACATTTGACACTAATAACAGGACCATCATGTAACAGAGAAGAAGGAAGAGAAAAAGGAAGAGCAGAAGCCAACTACTATGAATGCGTTCGAGTTAATATCTATGTCTAAGGGACTCAACCTCGGGAATCTGTTTGATGAGCAGGTTTTTCTCCCTGGGTCTCTTCTAACTCCTGTAGATTATAAAAGAGAAATTCACCACGAGAATGACCAAAAGAAGGACTGATTTCTTAAATATGACTAAATAGTTCCCCCCTAAATCAACGGTTTTTTGCATGCACGGTTACCTCTTTGGTCTTACTTTTTTCCCTTCCATGCAGTTACTAGTTACTACACTCACATAGATGCATAGTTGAGTTTCCTGGTAATATATTAAGAATCTATGGAAATTTTAGTCAAATATAGGTAATTTCCCCATGATAAAGAAACTCATTGATCCTACCTACTACCTTGGTACTGCCCCCGTATTCCCAAAATGCACATACTAGAAACGTCAACCTCTCTGAGCATATTAAGCTCAAACAAGCAATTCGAATCAGCCCTCGTCTTACGTGTCATATTAAGCCATCCACATTGATAAAACTAAAAATACAAATCAAACCAACTTTTAAAAGCTTTTAATCTACATGTCCTGTAACATTCATCTTTTATGATGGAACTCAAGCCTTAATAATGTAATCATATCAAGTAAAAGAAGCATTTCCCAACCTTATGTGATGGAAGTCATGTCTAATGTGATCATATTTATTTATAATTAAAAATGAAACATGCCCGAACCTACTATTTATCTTGTCAAGTTAATTAGTCTTTGTAAGTCTAACTCAAATGAGTATAAATGTAACATAGAGTACATAAAAAGAACTAAACGAATGATGCATAATCTGCTGTGGTTTCAAGTACCAGAAGATCGAGTGAGCATTTATTTGCAGTTGGGAGTTTGGTAGTAATAATAGTTGTTTTGTTATGATGAATTCACAACAAATCAAAGAAAAATTAATACAAGAAAGACAAACAAATTTACGTGGTTCACCAACATTGTGTTGGCTACATACACAGGTAGAAGGATGTCTGATTTTATAAGGAGGCTAGATTTCAGATTATTGAAACTTGAAAGTACACAAAAAAACTTCGCACATAGGGTACATATAGTACTCTAAGATTATCCTTAACAGACTTGGCCCAGATCACGTCCACAAGCCCAAACTGATAGTCCAAATAGTAATTACTCCATACCGCCGGGTCGGGCGTATGATGGAATAAAGCAAAATGGCTCACTAAACTGTTTGCGCTTCTTTGTTATGAAGAAACAGTCAGTCCATGCAATTTTTGTTTTCACTATGAGTCATCCGGAAACAGTCTCTCCCTGCTTTAGTACAGGGATAAGACTGCGTACATCCGACCCCCTTACCCCACCGTAGGTGGGAGCCTTTGCGGCACTGGGGTAATGATGACGATGATGATGATGACCATCGGGTCGGGCATCTCTGCCCCCCCCCCCCCCCCCCGCTAGGGACACCTTGCTCCCTAGCCCCCGTGCTTCCGCGAGCAGTGCGTGATCAGATGAAGCCATATTAATATGTTTTATGTTTTTTAGGGTAATGGCTTTGTTCATCAGCTTGAGCTTTAGCTGTATATTTGACCTTTATTGCATGTTTGGCACTCTACAATGCCGCAGGGAATCAAAAGAGAAACCAGGTTCACATCGAAACGCCCTGCCAACGAGATAATCAGCAAGATAGAAGCGGCAGCAAAACCACTTGGCTTCGATGTTCATAAAAAGAACTACAAGGTATTTTGACAAATTCCGTTTACAGTGTAGAGCTTTAGACAGTTAATTCATTCATTAGTGTGAGTTGAAAGAACTAAACTATTGGTAGACAATTAACTGGTTGCTTGTTTTTTTTTTTTTTTTCATTCCAGATGCGGTTAAAAAACATAAAAGCAGGAAGAAAAGGAAATCTAAATGTTGCAACTGAGGTAAATGAATATGAATTTCATCGTCTTCTTTTTAATACAGTTTGTTTCTTACTTCAAAAGGATGTTACTTTCTCGTTTGGTAGCACTCTTTATTCTGTATTACTTTTCTGAACTTTTTTGAAAGCAGAAACAAGAAAATGCGCTTGTAAACCTGATATCATTGTTTTTGAAAAACTGTTTCTATTTTAACAATTTTAAAATACATATTATATTTTAGATATTTGAAACCGAAACATAACAAAAATCTTAAACATTACCAAACAGACCTTGAGTTTGTATGAACGTTTTCACTACAGGTATTCCAAGTTGCTCCCTCTGTACATGTGGTTGAAGTGAGAAAAGCAAAAGGAGACACATTGGAATTCCACAAGGTAAAAATAAACTCTTGATGCAATTTTCTTTATCCATAAAGACTTTGCATTTCAGTTAGCTCACATCAGCAGAAGGCAAAAAGAGAAAACATTTCTTATCAACTCTATATTAGCAGATGAACATTCTTTTTCACGTCTTTCTTGCGCAGTTCTATAAAAATCTTTCGACTTCCCTTGATGATGTTGTATGGAGAAATGAAGATGAGATGCAAGAAACAATGTAGAATCAAGCTTTGATACATTCCTGTCTTCCACATGTATATACTACTGTTATTGTAGTTTCAATCTTGTTAGTTATTCAAACTTCAATATGTAAAAAGTTTAAAATGTATGTACTGTGTTAGTTATTCAATCTTGTTCAAGTAAAGAAAATACTATAATCCTCAAATAATACATACAACCATCGTGAAATGTCATTGCCAAATAAATATTGCCATTCTTAAGTTGTCGTCGTGGCATTCCAGATTTGGGGCCTGTTTGGAACCAGCTGGATCGGCTGGAAGGGCTGAAAAGACTGAAAATACTGAAACTGCTGAAGTGAAAGTGTTTGGTAATATGTTAGTTGGAATTGTTGATTGAATGTAAAATTACCATTAAGGGTATATGCTTATTTGTGTTAAATATATGGTGCGCACTTAAGTAGTAAACTATTTTTGCTTGATTAGGTAATTACGGAGTATAAGACTACTTAATTAATTGTTTACTTTTGAAATTTCAATCTTCCTCTTATGTCGAATTTTATATTGTTTATATAACTACTTTTCAAATAATGCGTATTTTCGAATGAGCGACATTAGTATTATTTTTTGTGACTAATATGAGAAGGGTATTTTATTTTTTAACGATTTGCAGGCCTGGGATATTACGTATCCTAATGAGTTAGGGTTTAGCACCTTTGTTTTAGCACACTGGTGCATTTTAACACACAGCTAAAATTGTGAACACAACATTACAAAAAACTTGACTGAGTTAAAATTTGATAAGTAAAGAAAACAAATTACTTTATGACATGGAAAGGTATGCGCAGCCAGGAAAGGTTCTCATCGCTATGGCCAAGAAAGGAGATGCGAAAATTAAAGGGTAAACATGTATTTAGGTAAGCAATGGATAGATTAATAAATTTCAGCTCAGAAAGTAACCCAATGGTTACTTTTTTGGCTGATAAGAAAAACAGCCCACTTGGCATGTGTTTGGCTTTATTTTTGTATTTTAAGGCTTTTCAGCCCATTTTCATGACTCCAAACGCACCCTTGGACTAATATTAATCAAATGCTGAACCCATACTTTCATCATCACTAGACCGTGTGGACTGGCCATCATAATGGAGGTATTTGGCAATGATTGACATGTGCTTATGACAAAAATTAATACATTTTGAGCCCGTTTGGAGACCTCCTTTTTCGGCTTATTAGGCTTATCAGCCAACTTTTTTACCAAACACGTAACTTTTACTTTCGCGCGCTGGATTGTGTAATAAGCAGAAAAAGTAAGGTTAGAGTTACTTTTTTGGCTGTATTGGCTGAAGTTACTGTAGATGACCATTTTAGCTATTTTTACATAAATTTTTTCTTTATTTTATTAATAAAATATATTTTTAAAATATTTTTTTCTTGAATCAGCAGAATCAGCCAAAACAGCCACTTCAGCCAGAACTTCATAAATTTCAGCAGAATCAGCCAAAACAGCCAATTTTGGTGCTACCAAACGGGCTCTTTATTACTAAAAATTAATACATTTTATTAACTACATTTTATTAATACAAGTAACAATGATTGACATGTGCTTATGACATGTTCGATTTGCTGTTTTAAAAGGTTTTATTTATTTCAGAATACTGATTTGCAAATGAAAAAATAAAAGTGAAGATAGAAGCACGATAGCTTGTTATAGGATAATTACGTACGCTTAGGCCTGGACTCGGGCCGGCCGCCGGGCGGCCCGACCCGGAACCGGCCCGGCCCGGCCACTGTAGCAACCGGCCCGGCCCGGTGGCCCGGTTCACCGGCGGTTCGGGTCGAACCGGCCCGGTGGTTCCCGGTTCCGGGCCCGGGCCTTCCATATTGTGAACCGGCCCGGCCGGTTCGGGCCCGGTCCGGGCCGGAAATAATTTTTTTTTTTATTTTTTTTGAAAATTTTTTATGTTTTGGGTTAGATTAGGTATTTTGGTCCATTTGAGGTGGTTTGGGGTGGTTTGGGGTTGAGAAAGAGGGGTAGGGGATTAAATAAAGAAGCCAAAAAACAAAAACAAAAAAAATAGGGTGGGTGGCCCGGCCCGGAACCGGCCCGGTCTGGCCCGGAACCGGCCCGGTCTGGCCCGGAACCGGCCCGGAACCGGCCACCCCCGGTTCGGGCTCGGGCCTCAATATTCTGAACCGAGGCCCGGCCGGGCCCAGGCCCGAGGCCCGAACCGGCCCGGTTCAGTCCACCCCTACGTACGCTTGGTCCAACTGTATTTTTTTTGTTGACGAGCACTAATAGGAGCAACACAGGCAAAATAAGAATTTGACATAGATATTAAACGTCCGAACATCGAAGCGCCATGTTTATCAGCTTTTCTAATTTTGGCTGTTTGATATAAAAAGCCAAGTGAAAAAGCTAATCAACCAAACATTTCTATTAGCTGTTTATCTGGTCAAAAAGCCAAATAATGGTCAAATTAACCAAACACCCTCAATACTTCTGTCTGACCACAATGTCAGAAAACTTACCGGTTAGCACAAATGACCTGAACCAGTTTTGAAGTTTTCAATTCATGTCCAATTAAAACTCGAAATATGTACCGCGCGAGCCCTAACTATACAACAATTCTTGGTGTTTATCCTGGGTTACACCCTATTTATTTGTCTTTCACACAGACAAAAAACGTACAAATACAGACACTTTCAATAAAACTGTCAGTGTGAGTGTGAGTTTGCAGATCTGCTAGATCTGCTAGCTGGTTGCACGAAAATCAATGTCGATGTACACAGACATTAGGTGTGAACAAAATTGGTTTGCAAGTTCAGAGGGTTGGGAAACCAATGTTGGTGTACACAGACATTAGTTGTCTGTGTAGAAACAAAAGTGTCTGTACATATATAATTTTCGTTTGTGTACACAGACACTGAAAGCAAACCAGTGTCGGTGTGCATAAAACGTAAAAAGAGAGAAGGAAAGAAAAAGAAGAAGAAGAAGAAGATGATGATGAACAACAATGATTCAAAGGAATCGTTTCTATGTTGGAAACAATAAGAGGGGCCTAATATGTAATTAATTAAAATGTGTGTACCATCAAATAAATAATACAGTGGCTATTCATGAAATAATAAAAGTGTAGATACCGGGATAATATATTTATTTTGGTGACGGGTCAAATTAAATATATTACGCTAAAGTGATACAACGGTTATGACCCCTGGTACGTGTAAATTGAGAGATAACAGTACAGATATGGTAACGGAAATAGCCTAATAAATTATTCTAAATAATATCATTATTGCAGCAATGATTAAGGAATTATTATCCGGAATAATAAGAGCCAATCGTTACCATATAAACCTAGTCCTACATATATCCCATCTATTATAGGATTAGAGTATCTCATATACGTTGCTACACAGTACTGGAAGGTTAGGCCGATCAATCGTGTTTAGATTCCTGTGTCTTCTTAAAGTGTTAATGCAAATGAATTCTCAAGGTATGGTTCTTATCTTAGTTCATACATATTTGATTTCATGGATTTTTATGGATTTTGCTATTATATATTTATATATATATTGCATACGGAGTTTTGTTGATATATATATGAATATCCAACAATTGGTATCAGAGCCTACCATTATAGATTCATGAAATTTTTCGTTTTGAATTCGCATATGAGTTCATCGTGACATTCATCAGTATTTTGCACTAGTATGTCAAGAATTTGCTTTACTCTACGATGTTCGAAGTTGCATATTAATGACATCATGAGCCGCATGATTTTTTGAGTGCCGGGATATGTAAATTTTGTTGTTGTTGCCGAGATATTTTTGAGTGCCGAGATATGTATATGTCTAAAACTTTTCAGTACTTAAATTATTTTTCAAGGTGAAACTTTAAACCGTTTCATGTGCCCACAAGATGAAACGTTAATTTTCCGTTGCACGTTTGACTTCAAGGTGCATATTGATATCTTTAATGCTTCAGTTTTCGGATGAACTTTTGGCCTCTGCATTGATTTAATATACTCCGAATAATTGTGGTTTCAAATCAATTTTTGCATAATGGATACATCCTGCTAAATTACTATGGAGCAATTGAATCCTTGGTTTTTTCTTCCACATAGTGGATTTGTCCCGCACTCAAGCCACATGGCAAGATTGGCAACAAATTATGCCATTATTTTAATAGTAATTGCAATAGCTATGCCATAGGTGTGTTGAATTGTGTGCCTCGATATAATTTTTGATATTTTAAGTTTGCTTTCGTTATTTGAATCAATAATATCATGAATTAAGTTACTAATGATCTATTCGATTTTTGGACTGACTAGCAATTGTTCATTTAAGTTCGTTTGATTGATTTAATGCTATTGCTATTATCAAAATTTGTGAACTAAATTGCCCCTGCTCATGTTCAAATCGATTAGAAGTTGACCACTGCACGTTTTTTTAGCAAACTGCGGTAAAATTTTGAAAGGAAATTGTAAAATAAAAGGGAGTTTAGTATTTAAAATGAGTATATAGAAACAATATGTCACCAAAGTGATCCTATCGTGTAAGTTGCTCATATAAAATATTAAACATAGTACATACTTTGTATATAGTTCAGGTAAATATTAATCGGCCCAAAGGAAGATTAATATTTTATTAAGTCACATATATACATTTTGGTAATAATATAAATATAACAATTATAAGGTTGCACTTTAAAAGAAAAAGTCAACCCAAAGGTAGATTTTTCTTTTATATGTATTATTGTTATATTTTATTGTTACAACAAGAGTACCACTAGCAATTAGTATTATTGTCCAAAGATGAAATACTAATGGTGCATTTGGTATCTTGTGATGGGTTAAAAAAAATCATTTTACAATTTCACTAAAGCATATGTTCATTTTCCTTGTTCTTTCTACAGTTAATTTTTCAAGCATATCTGCCAATCTCAACTCCATCCCTGTTCTAAATGGTACTAACTTTAAGGAATGGAAAGAAAATATTCTAATAACTTTGGGCTGCATGGATCTTGACTTAGCATTAAGGGTAGAGCAACCTGCTTCTCTTACGGATGCTAGTACCCAAGATGAAAAAAGGTACTATGAGAAGTGAGATCGCTCGAATCGCTTAAGTCTTATGATCATAAAGCGTGGCATTCCAGAATCTTTTAGGGGTGCTGTATCCGATGAGGTTACTAATGCCAAGGATTTCCTTTTTGAAATTGAGAAACGTTTTGTTAAAAGCGATAAGGCGGAAATAAGCATGTTGTTAAAAGACTTTACTTCCAAAAGGTATTCAGGAAAAGGATATATAAGGGAGTATATTATGGAAATGTCTTATATTGTTTCTAGGCTCAAGACACTTAAGATTGAGATATCGGAAGATGTTCTGGTACACATAGTCTTGAACTCTCTTCCTATTGCATTTGATTCTTTTAAGGTCAGTTATAACTGCCAAAAAGAGAAGTGGTCTCTTAATGAGCTCATTTCATATTGCGTGCAAGAGGAAGAGAGGATGAAACAAAATAAGATAGAAAGTGCTCACTTGGCTAGTAGTACCTCTAAGGATAAGGGTAAAAAGAGGAAGAGAACTCCCATTAAGAGAGAAGCTGCTCAAGGTCCACCACAGAAGAAACATAAGGAAGGTGAAACAACCTGTTTCTTCTGTAAGAAGTCTGGACACATGAAGAAGGATTGTACCAAGTATCATGCTTGGAAAGTGAAGAAAGGTACGGTCCTTGCCTTGGTTTGTACTGAAAACAATTTGGCTTTAGTGCCTAGAAATACTTGGTGGTTAGACTCCGGTTCAACATCTAACATCAGTATTTCTATGCAGGGTTGTCTGAGCCACCGCAAGCCAAATGATGCTGAAAGATGCGTCTATGTGGGAGATGGCAAAGCGGTGCATGTGGAGGCTATTGGGCATTTTAGATTGTTATTATCTACCGGTTTCTATTTGGATTTAAAAGACACTTTTATTGTTCCGTCATTTAGGCGGAATTTGGTTTCTGTTTCTTATTTGGACAAATTAGGTTATCATTGTTCCTTTGGAAACTTCCGGTTTAATTTGTCTTTAAATTCAAATATTGTGGGGACTGGTTCTTTTATGTCATATGACAATCTTTACATGCTTGAAACAATAACTTCATATAATAATGCTTTGAATGTTGACACCCGAGACACTAAGCGAAAGGTTGATAATGCACAATCTGATTTTTTATGGCACAAACGATTAAGTCACATCTCTAAAAATAGAGATGAACGTCCTGTGTCCGATGGAACACTTAATTTCATTGATTTTTCTGATTTCAATACTTGTATTGAGTGCATTAAAGGGAAACAAACCAAAAATAAGAAAAAAGGTGCATATAGAGCTACGGATGTCCTAGAATTAATACACACAGATACTTGTGGGCCATTTCCTACTTCTTCATGGAATGGTCAACAATATTTTGTGTCATTCATAGACGATTACTCTAGATATGCATACTTATTTCTTATACATGAAAAATCTCAAGTCTTGGACGTGTTTAAATCTTAGAAAGCGGAAGTTGAGAATCAACTCAACAAACGCATAAAGAAAGTCAAATCCGACCGTGGTGGTGAATACTATGGGAGGTATGACGGCTCAGGTGAACAACGTCCAGGGCCTTTTGCCAAATTTTTAGAGGAATGTGGGATTGTCCCTCAATACACTATGCCGGGTTCACCTAGCATGAATGGTGTAGCTAAGAGGCGTAATAGAACCCTTAAAGAAATGGTAAGAAGTATGATTTCTCATTCTATCTTACCGGAATCCCTCTGGGGTGAGGCATTAAAGACCGCAACTTACATTCTTAATCGAGTGCCAACTAAAGCAACTACTAAAACACCTTATGAGCTTTGGACGGGTAAAAAGCCTAGTTTAAAGCATTTTCATATTTGGGGTTGTCCAGCTGAGGCAAAGCCGTATAGGCCACATGAAAAGAAACTGGAACCCAAAACAGTTAGTAGTTACTTTATTGGTTACTCGGAGCGATCTAGGGGATATAAATTTTATAATCCCGAGGATAAAAATATTTTTGAGACGGGAACTGCCATATTTTTCGAGGATGTTGAGTTTGGGGGGAAGAATAAAGTTAGGGATGTTGTCTTTGAGGAAGAATTGATTTCAATACCTGAACCAATTCATACGGATGTTTCTTTTGAAACTAATGAAGAACCTCAACAAGGCATTATTTCATCTTCTCCTTTCCAAACTGAACAAATTGTTCAAAATGAACAAACTCAACTTCCTCTGGAACAAATGCAACAAGAAAACGTGTCATTGCGGCGATCCACTAGAGAAAGGAGATGCGCAATTCCAGATGATTATGTTGTATATCTCCAAGAACATGCGTCAAGCATGGATATAGAGAACAATGTCCTTGTGTTTATTCAAGAACATGAGGAAGAAAGTGGCGTAATGGAATATGATCCAATCAACTTCCGTCAAGCCATGAAAAGTACAAATTCTCAAAAGTGGATTGTGGCAATGAATGAGGAGTATAAATCTATGCAAGACAATAAAGTTTGGGAACTCGTCCCATTACCTGAAGGTTGTAAACCCATTGGTTGTAAATGGATATTTAAAACCAAAAGGGATTCAAGGGGTAATGTGGAGAGATATAAAGCGCGTCTTGTAGCTAAAGGTTATACTCAAAAGGAAGGAATTGAGTATAAAGGTTATACTCTTTTAGAATCATTATGGCTTTAGTTGCACATTTTAATTTAGAGCTTCATCAGATGGATGTTAAGACGGCGTTTCTCAATGGTGACATTGATGAAACTATTTATATGGTGCAACCAGAAAATTTTGTGATTGGAGATCCAAAACAAATGGTTTGCAAATTAACAAAATCCATCTATGGGCTAAAACAGTCTTCTCGTCAATGGTATCACAAATTTCATCAAGTCATTTTATCCTTCGGTTTTAACATGAATGATGTAGATGATTGTGTATATCATAAGTTCAATGAGAGTAAAATATTTTTCCTGGTCTTATATGTTGATGACATTCTTCTTGCCACTAATGACATAGGCATGTTGCATGAAACCAAGAGATTTCTATCAAAACATTTTGAAATGAAAGATCTTGGTGAAGCCTCCTTTGTATTAGGAATTGAAATCCTTCGTGAGAGATCACAAGGAATCTTAAGGTTATCACAAAGGAACTATGTCGATAAGGTCCTTAAAAGATTTGGCATGGAAGATTGTAGACCGTGTGATACCCCTATCTCTAAAGGAGACAAGTTTGGTCTCGATCAGTGCCCTAAAACAAATCTGGAAATTCAAGAAATGAAAAAGATTCCATACGCATCTGTTGTAGGAAGTATTATGTATGCCCAAGTTTGTACGCGTCCGGATATTGCGTACATTGTTGGGATGCTAGGCAGATATCTCAGTAATCCAGGAATGGCTCATTGGGTGGCGGCCAAAAGAGTTATGAGATACTTAAAGAGAATAAGGGACTATATGCTTACATATAGAAAATCAGATCATTTGGAGGTCGTTGGATACTCCGACTCTGATTTTGCCGGCTGCAAAGACAGTAGTAGATTTACATCAGGCTATGTTTATCTACTAGCATGTGGTGCTGTATCTTGGAAAAGTGTTAAGCAAGATATGATAGCTACCTCAACTATGGAGGCAGAGTTGTTGGCCTGTTTTGAAGCTTCAAACCATGGAATATGGATGCGCAATTTTATTGATGGGCTGAAAATATTAAATGATGTTTCAAAGCCTATCAAAATATTTTGTGACAACAATTCTACGGTGCTTTACTCTAACAACAACAAGAGCTCGAGCAAGACAAAACACATTGAAGTGAAATATCGAGCTATTAAAGAAAGGGTTCAGAATAAAAGAGTCGCTATTGAACATATAAGTACAAACTTCATGCTAGCGGATCCTTTAACCAAGGGTCTCCCACCAAAAGTTTTTCATGAGCATACTGCTCACTTGGGAGTCATTGATTTTAAGGAACCTCAAGTTTAGTGGGAGTTTATAAGTTATGCTTGATGTTCTATTGCTTTATGAATTTATTTTCTGATCAGAATAAAGTTTGACATTTAGTGTATTCTGAACAATTAAGTTATTAAAGTTTAAAGTTTATTAAGGAAGGGTCAGTTGAAAATTTACACGTACATGCCACATTTCATGTAATTTTCATGCTACACATTTCATGATTGATCTATGTCATTATGTTATATTGATATTATTAGTAATCATTGGTGGTATGGTTATGTTTAACATGACAAAATGCTGCAATGGTTCTATATTAGTATGCCTGATGGACCAGATTGTTTAAGGATGTTATTTTATATGATGGTATTTTTGAGCTCATAAAGATAACACATTTTGTTAAGAATTACATATAAGGCCCAATGGGAGATTGTTGGAAACAATAAGAGGGGCCTAATATGTAATTAATTAAAATGTGTGTACTATCAAATAAATAATACAGTGGCTATTCATGAAATAATAAAAGTGTAGATACCGGGATAATATATTTATTTTGGTGACGGGTCAAATTAAATATATTACGCTAAAGTGATACAACGGTTATGACCCCTGGTACGTGTAAATTGAGAGATAATAGTACAGATATGGTAACGGAAATAGCCTAATAAATTATTCTAAATAATATCATTATTGCAACAATGATTAAGGAATTATTATCCGGAATAATAAGAGCCAACCATTACCATATAAACCTAGTCCTATATATATCCCATATATTATAGGATTAGAGTATCTCATATACGTTGCTACACAGTACTGGAAGGTTAGGCCGATCAATCGTGTTTAGATTCCTGTGTCTTCTTAAAGTGTTAATGCAAATGAATTCTCAAGGTACGGGGATTGGGTGGATTATAGGGCTGGGAAAGCACTGTTTATTCCCTACGAGTGCCGATATTCTATCTTCTTCGTACTAATTTTATCAACGACCCAAACCCCAATCCTGAACCCAATCCCATCTCCAGCCCATTTTTTCTTCAATTATACTACTATACTACCGCTGGTTCCAACAACGAAGCCTGCCTTATCGATACAACCGATAGAGTAATGGGTGAGAGGAAACCTGTCTGGCTGCCTTCTTCAAGGTCTTGACCAACAATTTGCAACTCACCTGGTAATTCTGCACCATCTTCCTCTCTTTTCCTATTTTTCTTTTAAATATCCCCCCAGCAAAGAACCAAAAACCAGCAACAAAGACGAGGCTACCCGATCTCAGTCGGTTCTGGGCAGGAGGCCATCATCCAAGCCATGCCGCCATCTACTTCCAAGCAAGCTCCACCCCACCGCCATCTTGTGGTGATGTACAGTTTCAAGCTTTCTTTTCATTAGGAATGGATTTGAAATCCGAGGGACACAGGCCAGATTCTCAATGAATCGTTTTGCACGTACAAATCCACTTAATTAATTTAAAATCCATCCAAACAAAAATCAATTGAAATCCATGGAATATTTGAGGACACCTCTATTTTCATAGATTCCACAAAAATCTGAATTGAGGACACCTATATTTTGATGGAATTCTAAATTCCATTAAAATCCATAAGATTCTAGATTGAGGACACCCCCGTAAGTTTTGTAGAGAGAAAAGAGAATTAACTAGAACAACAATTTTTTTACTTAAAAAAAAGTAACAAAGTTAGTGGGACAACCAAAAAAGTAAAGTTGACAAAGTTTTAATGGAGAGAGTGAGTATTACTAAAAAAATAATATTATTTGAATTATTGAGGAGAGTAAAATTGAAATATGATTATTTAAGGAGTAAAAAATTTCTCTTATTTAGGAAAAACACATACTGCCCCAATTTTTTTAGTTGTGAAAATTTATATTTACATTATACCAATACTCTACTGTAGTCATATTTCATGTATTAACATAGTCAAACATCAATATTTGATGGGGTTATTGGACTAGGCCAAGAGTCTAATCATCCCAGGCTCAAGGTCAGGGGGACCCATGAGTCCAGGCCCACGACATAGACCAGCAAACTCAAGCTCAATTCCATTATCTCACGAGGACAGATCGACTGGTGGGCCAGAGGATCTAGGAGCTCAGATTGATCCAATCGACAAAGCCCATCAAGCAAAGGAAGTCTGACATGGTGGAAGTCCAAGACGACCAGCCTGTCAACTCGAACAGGAGCGTGCCTATCAGGCCAACTAATAGTCTGCCTACCTAGTCCAGTCGGGAGCCTCCTTACCAACTAGCTAAGATTCTGCCTACCAGTTAGTCGGGAGCATGACTTCGAGCCCAGACAGGAACCTGCCTACTAGCCCAGCCTGGAGTTAACATACGAGTCCAACACTGATCCGCTCACTAGTTTGTCAGGGAGGGAGCACAATCATCGGACAATTCAGTCTGGAAGAGCAACAGTCGGGACATTCAATGCGCTCATTAATGTTATAGTTAATGACATATTAATTAGCCATTATTGTCATGTAGTTGTTACCTTTTGTAAATGCCTATAAAAGGAAAATGTAATGCAAATGATAAGACACATTGTTGGGTAATTGGACCAAGGCCCAATACCACAGGAGACCCAATCTGCATACGGGCTCAATCACAGTGCAAATCAGTATAGGGACATCATTCGGGCCACCCCGCGCGGGTAGTGCTACTAGGCCCAATTCCCTCACTTCGGTTTCTCCACTCGAACAAGTAGCCATCCAAGGCAGAGCTCCCTCATTTCAGGGTTGAGCACATTACCCCCATTAACTACTACCTTTTAGTATAAATAACAACATTTATTTCATTGTAAATGATTGACAAACTTGTATTCTTAACAATCGACTTATCTCTAGTTCTTCTGTAGCATTCAACATTGCGGCCGGGCTCGGCATAGTGTTGTATCGTTTTAAGGACTTTAATAGAATTGGATCCACTTCTATCTCTTACTTACTTGCTTGTACTTTTGCCTCTTTCTTGCGTGAAACATTAACTTAAAGTCCTTAAAGTCAACTAAAAAGGACTTCTACGAAAGCCCAAGGGACTGTGTTGGGTCTTTCGAACTCTAAGACTTAACTCTAGACCTAATGATTATGAGTCTAGTACCATTACATTGCTTCCAAGATATTCAACAGCTTATGACGGACTTTGGGATTAAAATTTCACATTGCTTCCACGAATCAAATCGAGCAGCTCATCTTCTCGCTCAGCTTGGAAAGAAATGTACAAACACACAGGTCGTTGCTCATGCCTCTTTGTTGCCTTCTGATATTAAAGGTGTGGTCCTTACGGAACACATCCCATATTTGAGATTTTAAGTCACGGATTGATTGTTTTTTTACTTTAGTGGGCTTTGGTTTATGTCCTCCCACTAAAGTTTCTATTTTTGGACTTTCTCTTTTCTACTTTCCCGAGAGATTTTGGTTTGGTCCCCCTCTCATTTGGAGACCGTATATGCTACACCCGGTTGTATGTACATCCGTGGTCCAAATTAAAATAAGTCCATTAACAGATCAAGCCCACAACACAGCTGGCCCAATGTTTTACCGGGTAACATCAATAACCGAAAACAAAGGCTGCGATTTAAACATATCAAAAACGGAAAAGTAACTTCTCTCAAAAACTGAACTCTCTTCTGAAATTTGTTCGAAAACGACGCAAGCATTCATAGACGCCGCATTAAAGCTCGAAAAACGAGGACAACCTCCAGACGTTTATCAACTTTGTGGAGTTCTTCGTAGAGTTGAAGAGCAACAACAAGTTGAAGAACAGAGGAAGACTTTGAGCAGCAAGTTGTTTCTGTTTGAGCATTGAAGCGAGCGATGGACTTAGTCTCCGAGTATGAGATGATGAAGAACGCAGATAAGCCTGAAACTGCAGAAGTTTCAGAGAGGTATGTAAAATTATACTGTTGAAATTTCTATTGTAGTAATGATTCATCAATATGCTTGCATGGTTCGAAAATTATAGAAAAATTGAAATGATTTTGACAAATCTGAAGTAGATTATGATATTGATGCATTATATATGTTTATTAAGTATATCAATTGAGGTTTTGTTCAATGTACGAAGGTTATTGCTCATTTTACTTTACTTTAAGTGATATACATTACTAACTAGTTAGAACACGGTGATTCTGTAATTAGGTTACTTGTAAAATGATAAAATACTCAATCTCTAGTATACAGTACTCATCTATGAATGGAGTGGTTTGTGTTTAAAATTTTCTATACTTATTGAATAATATGCTTATGATGCATATGTGCTTATGCTTATTAGTCATAATGCGCCATTAAAATTGAACTCATACTCATTATTTGATCACTGTTTCAAATGAACAAATAGACTTTGTGTCATGAATAATGTGTCATGAAGTGCTGTAGATTTTTGTTTCACAATATACTTGTTCTGTAATTCGTTTGCATGGACATTGTGTGTGTGCTCATAATGTGAGTGTAAGATGCTCAAATTGTAAAACAATGTGTCACAATTTTATAGTACTGAAAACTGGTGATAATATGTTAGTTATTGATAATGTTAATTTAAAAGTGAACTGATACTCATAAGTTGATCAGTACTTTCAAATGACCATATGGTGTTATGTTTAAAAAAAAACAATGAAAATTTTGTCTTAGAATATGCTTGTTATAAACTACATTTACATATAAATTGTTTGTATAGAATATGTTGTTATTGAATAGAATTCCAAAATAATATTTTGTATGCTCATGATTTGATATGTATTGCTCATATTAATTAATAAGGTATATTGTACTTGTTAAGTATGGAAATGATTTGCGAATCATGATTTGATATGTATTACTCATTTTAATTAATAATGTAGGATTTTAGATCAACGACCTATAAGTGAGATCCCAGTGCTGCGCTCAAATCCAAAAAAGAGGGTAAAAAAGACTTCCAAGGTTCCACAGAAGAAGATGAAACCAAAAGCAATTCCAAAAAAGGAAAAGGCTAATATGGACTTAATAAAACAAATTGAAGCTGAGATAAAGATGAGTGATGAAGAAACAAGGGATGCAGAAACAAGTAAGGCTAGCAGTAAGATCATCGAGCATGTTAGAGAAGAATCTGAGCACCAAGGGAGAGAAGCTGAGCACCAAGAGAGGGAAACTGAGGAGCATCAGAATGTTGAAGAAACAATCAAAGGTAGCAGTAAGATGATTGAGAATGTTGGGGAAGAATCTAAGCACCGAGGGAGGGAAACTGAGCAGCAAGGGACTGAAACTGAGCAACATGATAATGTTGAAGAAACAAGGAATGATAGCAGTAAGACAAGTGAGAAGGTTGGAGAAGAATCTGAGCAACAAGGAAGGGAAAATGAGCAACAAGGTAGGGAAACTGAACAACATCAGATTGTTGTAGAAGCACAACAAGGCGCTGCACAGAGAAATAATAAGAAGAAAAGAAAGAGAAATAATGCAGGCACAATTAAGAAAAGTACATAGCAAGGAAATTCAAGCAAAGAGAAATAGGGCGAGGAAGTTAGTCCAAAAAGAAAAATTACAAGATCAACAACCTCAGAAACAACTGAAAAGAAAAAAGATGAAGTTCAGAAAAAGAAGAAAGAAGTTCATGCAAAGAAGAAAATAACAAGGCAAGCAGAGTCAATAAAAGAGAAGAAGCAAAAGATAAAGAAGAAGAAAGCAGAAGAAGACGAAGAATTTGAGGAGGATGGAGAGGAGAAAGAGAAGGAAGAGAACGCAAAATACCCAAAGCTGTGGACAAGAATGTCTCCGAGTAGTATAACAGAAATAATGAAAAATCTAAGTGCAGAACAGAAGAAAGAGGTGGTTGAGATGGGATTTGGCGCCTTACTGAACCTTGAAGTGAAGCAATTGCCAATGCAGTTGGCATATTGGTTGGTGGAGAATTTTGATAGCAGAAGTGTGTCTCTTCTTCTGCCGAACAATGAGAGATTGAGGATTAATGAAGATGCAGTGCACGTGACATTGGGGTTTCCAAAGGAAAGATTAATGTGAAGAATTTGATTAACACTGAATCTGAGAATACATCACACATGGTGGCTGATTGGAGATCGCATTTTGAGACTAAAAATGGAGTTGTGAAGACTGCTCAAGTGAAGAAGGTTATAGAAGAAAACAAAGCAGGTGGAGGATGGTTTAAAAAGAATTTTTTTGGTTCTCCTGGTAACGTTTTTGATTGAAGGGAAGCAAAATTGCTTTGCCAATCAAAGCATTCTGAAGGCATTGTAGGATGATTCAAAAATCAAGGATCTGAATTGGTGTGGATACACATTGGAAGCATTAATTGAAGCAAAGGACTATTGGAGCAAAAGCAGAGAAAGACAGTTCCCAAGGCCTTTATTATTTCTGATTGTGAGTTAGAAATTCTAAATGTTATTGCTGAATTTCTTCATAGTATTAATGAAATAATTATATTCAGTACAAAATTCTAACATCTTATAACATATGTAGGTTTTCTACGTGGATAACGTTGTGTTCAAAGGCAGAAAAGTTCAAAGAGCATCTCCATCTATAATTGGGTGGACAACACAAAATTTGAACAAAAGACAGAAGGAAGAGATTGAAACTGGAGGTTTTGGATACAGATATATAGATGAACCTAATAAAGCGGAATTCATAGTTCCAAAGCTGATCACAAATGAAAAAGAAGTTGCAATGCAGATTGAGGGAAACATCAATCAGGAGCCAAAGAATGTAAGTACAGTAGTATGTAATTTTAACAGAGAAATTTGGGTAAATATAAAAATGATAAATATGATATCTAGATATGAGCATTATATACAAACTAATGAGTACATGCAGCAACTTAAAAAAATAGGTAATAAATTTTATAAAAATAAAAATAAAAATTTTAAAGACTGAATAAATTAATCTAATAAAGGTGTATGATTAGTTCACAATTATTTTAATATAAACTCAACAATAAAATAAATAGTGCTCAATTACTATCCTAAAATTAATCATTAAATAACTGCAGGATATTATGAAGGAGTTTGCTGCAGCTGCGAAGAATTTGGCAGAAAGCATGGCCAGTTTTGATGAAAAATTTCAACAGGCTGTAAAGGTGTTACCTGATGATGAGACAATGAAGATTTTAATGGGAAAAGTCCATGGGCTTTTCAACACATATTCATCAGAAAAGGAGAAAGAAAAAGAAAATGAAACCGAAGTGTCACTGACTCCAGATGATGGATTCTGGACTGAAGAAGTGCTCAAAGCAGTTGAAGCTATTGAAGTGGCTCAGAAGAAAAGAGTTGAGAGGCCAACTTTTACTCAGTATGAAAATCCAAACTTCAAGTTGCTTTCACAGGAGTCAAATGATGGGGTGAATACTTATGGGGATGATGATGAGCATCATAATGACATAATTGAGCAAACATGGCAATGGAATTGAGCATGCAGAGGATGGTCCAAGTGAGCAAATGAATAAGGATAATGACAATGCTGAGGATGTTAATGAGGATGAAGAGGAATCTGAAAGGGAAGAATGTGAAGAAGAAAGAGACAGAAGGTCTAGAAAGGGTAAGCAAGTTGAACAATATCACATTGACCCAAAAGAGAACAAAGTGGAAAGAGAAAAAAGAGAAACAGCTCCAGCACCTGCTCTGAAGTCCCCATTCATGAACAGAGCCATAGATGCAAGGACAACACTTGGCAGTGAGGAAAGACTACTTGCAGGTTTTGTGTTCAATGATCATTGTGACAAGAAGTAAGTACACAACAAGTTTTTCTCAATCATTTCGTTTAATAGTAATGCACATTTAATTTTAAAGTTTACTCGTTCTATCTAGTAATGCTTTTCAAACAGTGTTTTGGTGTTCATGCATTACAACTTCACTCTTTCAAAAGCTCAGATGGAAACAATGAGGAGCAACACAAAAGTTTATGCTGGAATTATAGATATATGGGCAATGTTGCTTAATCATAATGAAAAGTTCAAAAGCCCTGAAGCTAAAAGCAGAATGATTTTCTCAACAAGACCATGTGTAAGAAGTACATATTCATTTAGTTAGTATTACTAAAATGAAACTAATATATTATAATATTTAATGACAGCATGTGCTAGATCAAAATCATCTCACCGCCCCACAAACAAGGAACAAAAGGTTTGTGGCAGAAATTGGCAAGGAATTTCCCTGTGCAGATGGAAATAAGTTGAGGTCAACAGATCTATTCATATTCCCAGATGAATACAATGGGTGCTATTATATGATGTGCTTTCACTTGAAGAACATGAAGTTCTACATCATTGATAGTAGCGACGGAGATATAGCTCCTGCACTCAAGTACTTGTTTCAAATGTCATACCTGGTAAATGTTTTATATATTTCTTTTTATTTTATCACATATGGATAAATAATGTGATGAGTTAGTATATGAACAATGGGCACTTGATAATTGAGCAACCACATAGACAATATGTGCATGAACATTAAAATATGTATAAGTCTGTTTTTGAACTTTTTAACTACAGAGAAGTGGATTTGTGAAATTTCTCCGAGATAAAAAACACTCAAAGGCAGATAAGGTTGTGAAGCTGAAGGAAGAAGTGATTAAAATGCATTGGAGAAATAAGAAAAACAAAACCAATGAGGGGGTTTATTTGATGGGGCATATGGAGACATTTTATGGTGACATAGCATGGGAGTGTGGACCAGATAAAGAAAGTGTAAGTCCAAAGTGGTTTAATATAGTTTTCAAACATAATAATTATGTGAAAACTTGAATATCTAAATTATAATGTTTGTACAGGAAAAACCAATTGAGATGCTGAGGATTAAGTACTTGCATGCCATAGTCACATCTGATAAGAATGAGATCAAGAAGGACGTCATGGAACATGTGAAGAAACACAATGTGTATATCTAAAAGATGTGTAATGCTATTGATGATTCTGGGTGTTGATGAACATGTTGTTGTTTTTTAATTCATGTTAAACAATATTAGTATTTGGGACATATGATATTACTATTAAGCTTGGATGACAGTAGTCATGTTAGTAATATTAAATAAGGACAGATGCTTATGGGAAGTTCATATTATTGATCATTATTAGTATGTACTATGCTCATTTCTTTGCTTACTTATACACATTTTAAGGTATTAATGATAATTACTAGTAAGTACTATTCTCATTTCATTTATTACTTATACAAAATTTTAAGGAGTGAGCCCTTAAAGTTAAAATCTTTGAGTGTGAAAGTAAGTCAATGTATTCATTCATTAAATAAACAGTGCGGGGTGTTTTTTCCAATTATTAGTAATTTATTTATAATGGTATGAGTCTTCACTACGAACTGAAATAGATAATTTAAAGTTTTCTTGGGAAAATATGAATATATTTGTGTTCATTGCGAAATAGTAATTACACACATTCATGATGATTGTAATGTTGATTGCTGACATTTATGAAGTTTATATTAATACTCATTTTTAGTAGCGGGAATGCTCAATTTATTAGTTAGTATACACAATTTGAAGACTGATCAATTGTAATTATACACATCTGCATTTTTGAAGTTTTTATTTATACTCATTATTATTAGCGTGAATGCTCATTTTATTAGTTAGTATACACAATTTGAAGACTTGTCTATTGAATTTAAGAACATTAAGTATGAAAATACGTTATACAAATTTTCTTATAAAAAAAAGATTGGGGGAAGTGTTTTTCAAAGAAATAGTAAGTTATTTATAATGGCACAACTGAAGTGAGTAAGAACTAAAACATTGAATTTTATGTGAAAGTGTTTTACAAAAAAAATAAAAAAATTATATTTAATTCGAAATAGTAAACACATAGTTTAGTGAGTCTTGCATTCAAAATGCATTAACTAAAAAACTATATTTATTTCAATACTCATTTTGTTAACACGTGATACTCATTATAGCACAAAGAATTACTCAAAAGAAGATTTATCAGACGAATGTATGATTCAATAAAAGTAAAAACTACAACAAAAACATAGAGGAAAAACATGTAAAGTCTAAAAGTGCAAATAACTGAAACTAAAATGATGATAAAAGATAAAAGATGTTCTTTTTTGAAATAATATAATAAGTATATGTAAACAAAAAGCAAAGCTTTTAAGAATGTTTACAAATTTCAAGGTTCACAATATTTGAAGTACTAGCTGCAGTTGACTTTTTCCTTCCTCGGACTTTAAGGTTCATATTTCAGAGAACGTTGATAATATTCCAAAGTGTAATTTTACATGATCAGCATACATCTACGGTCTGAGCATCAACACAAAAATGTTGAGTAATAAAAAAAACCCGACACCAGTCACTAGTAAACGAGTGAACATAACAGTATGACTACATAGCTATTCGAAAATCAAACTACAAATTTGCTTGATCAGTTGCAGATGTACTAGCTTGACGTGACTTCTTCTTTGCTCTAGCTTGATTTGTTTTGATTTCAATAAGACTCTTGCGACGGACATTTCTTTCACCCTTCTTCCTTGAAGACTTTGGATTTAGATATTGTTGAACCCAAACCAACTGTAGAAGATTCACTATCTGAAAAATAAATACTTCCAACTTGCTCTTCAACATCCGCTTTCAACTTTGAAAAAGATTCTTCACAAAAATGCCTTGCTGCAGAATTAGAATCACTAGAGCACAAAAGCTTGTGAAATTTCTTTTGCATTTGCATTCTCCAAACAGAAGGTAAAATATTAGAAGTCCCAGATGAAACATAAATTTGTTCAATTGGAACACACTTTGCACTACGCGTCCAACGTTTCAGAACATAACAATCCGGATAACTTCTACACAGTGAATATGATATATACGAAGAATATGACAACACAAAATATCAACTTCTGAGAATTTCTGACATGAACATTTAACAAAATGTGTTGTCATATCAAAAGAAACCCAATGTGTAAATATATCTATTTGAGGCATCCATACCAAATATGACATCAAAGAACCTTGTTGATGTCTAAGTTCATATTTCAGGGACATACCTCGTAGAAATTCTTTCTCAAACAGTTTATACGCATCAATCGTGTAGACCTTGGAGGCTTTATGTAACAGACCAACAAAAGGAATGGCAATTTCTGGAAAACCATCCCAACAACGTTGCTCTGATCTTTACCCTCATTACTTCTCCATTGACTCACACTTTCACTGAAAAAATGGTAGAAGTCACAAAGAGACGAGTTTGCATTCAGTTTTCTAGATATTGAGTTATTCGTGGACTCGCTTCGTTGGGAAGACAAAATTCCAGCAGAAAAGAACTGCTTTGAAAAAGCTGGACACCATTTCTCCTTCATCTCGTACAGTTTGGTTAACCAAGGATTATCAGAACATTTGTATTCACAAACCATCCTGCAAAATATGAAGCAGAATACTCATTTCCAAAACAATATTACTCATTACAGATAAGCAGTGTGCTCAACAAGAAGGTATACTGTAAATGCAGAAAACACAAAAGGAAGTATACGAACAATGAAAAAAACCTATTCCAATAATGATCAAACTCTTCAATAGTCTGACAGAGTTTCAAAACATGATCAAATAAAGCCAAAAGCCTTCGTCATTCCTCAAATCTCGTATATGTTTTTTAGAATTTTCAATGATATGCCGCCATATACACAGACGATGCCTTGAAGAAGGAAAGACTTTAGCTATTGCAGCAGGCATAGCGGATGACTGATCTGTCATTACAGTTTTCGGATGCACAAAATCTATTGAATTCAGAAAAGTAGTGAAAAGCCATTCAAAAGATTCAATTATTTCATTGAGAAGAAATCCACAACCAAACATGCATGTATGGGTATGATGGTTAATACCTACAAACGGTCCCCATATCATATCGTATTTATTAGTACGATAGGTCGTATCATGAATAACTAGCTCACCAAAAGATAGGTAATCTTCCTTCATTTTTTTATCTCTCCAAAACAAAATTGACTAAAGAACCATCCACATCTATCTCGAAAGAGAAGAAGAAATCTTCTTCATTTGACTGCCTATTCTTAAAGATGTTAATCAGGGTATTGGCATCAGAACCATCAAAAGATTTCTTGACCTGTTTTGTCAATTCGTTATATGCATCACGCAAGAGAAAACCAACCGAAGGAGATCCACCTGCTTCCGCTTGCAAACATCGAAATCCATCAGCTATCTTGACTCCTTGATTTTTCAAATGATGCAAGTAATCTAACTCACTAGAAGAAATAAAACGATGGGATCTAACGTGATGAACTAATGAGTTTGGACAAAACTGATGATTATGGTCCATAAGGTGCCTAACAACAACCCACTCACCGCTAGATTTTATCTCAAAATAAATTCGTGCCTTACAATTAGTACGACAGTCTACTTTTGTGAATTGCTTCCCAACAACGCCTTTTGTTGAGGTTTATTCCCGTAGATCCGAAAGCCCAACATAAACTTCAGATATTAGGGACGATGGATTCGGTATAAAAGTGAATAATAAATATAAAAGGTGTATGAACTAGCTATTTTTACGTGGAAACCCGGAAAGGGAGAAAACCACGGGACTTTTTAGGCTAACGTCCAAGCCCGCTCTTTCTCATTAATATCCTCCCATCACTCAATACATATTTTGCACTCCATTAATGGAGGTTCAACAAGCTTGCTAATCTCTAAAGAAGAAATACAGTGAATGAATGTATGGGGGAGGAGAGCCAAAATCAGATCCTTAATCAGGAGGCTTTGCCTCCTATTTATAGAAGGGGAGGGGGGTTTTTAGGGCTATGCTAATGGGCCAATAGGCCTAAATGGGCCGGTTGGGCCTAGCTGACTGGGCTCCTTATCGGGACGATGCCTCGGGCCTCAGAATAGTAGTAGGCCGGGATATTATTACCCAACACAAGTCCCCCAGTTTCTTGAGTAGTGAGCCTGCAAATCTACTCGAGAAAGTATAATCCTGCTCATGTCCTTCCCTGCCTTCCCTGAATCAGAGTCTTTGAACAACCTTGGACGCAAGGCATGCATAAATGATGAACGAGGTGCAGTCCCTCGCTAGGCACGGCGGCGCTGAAAAGCCAGCCGTTCGTGCTGTATAAAGCGGCGGTCGCCATCCCAGATCAAGGATGGACGAGTCCGACCGAGAGCCAGGCACGACGGTGCTGTGGAGACCGTGCGTGCTGCATAAGAGCGACGGTCGCCATCCCAGAGCAAGGATGGACGCGCCCGCCAGAAAGCCATGCACGACGGCTGCTGTGGAGCCCGTACGTGCTGCATAAGAGCGACGGTTGCCATCCTATAGCAAGGATGGACGAGCCCGCCAGAAAGCCAGGCACGACGGTGCTGTGGAGCCCGTACGTGCTGCATAAGAGCGACGGTTGCCATCCTATAGCAAGGATGGACGAGCCCGCCTCGGACAGACATGGACTTGACTCGACTCAGACAGACCTGGACTTGACTCAGACAGACATGGACTTGACTTGACTCATACAGACCTGGACTTGACTCAGACAGACATGGACTTGACTTGACTCAGACAGACCTGGACTTGACTCGAGACCACTGCGGGCCATCATGAATTCACATCACCTCCAAACCAATTTATATCCCCCGTTCGCTCGCCTTCGCCGAACGGGTCGTTCTCCCCTGGCCGAAATAAGACTCAATCAAATCAATAGTTCCATTCGCCCGTTCGTCCCACTAGAACGGTCTGATGTACAACGATGATTACGTTGTGCCGAGGTGGCTGATCGTAGAGCTACAGAAGCGGTCAGATCATCTGGATAATAGGTCATTTCTGCTATAAGTCAGCACCAAGGTTAAGGTGCAAGCCGTTCGGTTTATTCCTGCTGGCTCGTTTGTAGTTTCCTGATCCGCAAGGCATCACCTCTTGCTGCCTGCTGCCTTGTAGGCCCAAGGCTGATGTAACTTGTTCGTGTTATCATCCGTGTTCTTCCTGATCCGCAAGGTAATCACCTCTTGCTACCTGCTGCCTTGTAGGCCCAAGGCTGATGTAACTTGTTCGTGTTATCATCCGTGTTCTTCCTTATCCGCAAGGCAATCACCTCTTGCTGCAAGACAGTTTCACAATTTGTGTAGTGTCTGCCATCTTCCAAGCCCATAATTCCGATGCATACCGTCGGTTTTACCGTCCGGGGTCATCCATATCATGAGGTTGAGATGTCCATCCTGGACCATTGAGAATAAGGCTCCCAATTCGGGTCTCCCCCTTATTCTCTGCCAAAATGGAGACTCGCATCCAGGTTACAGCTCGGGTTCCACCACAATAAATCACTACATCGTGGTTCGGGCGAGCTGCATAGCCAATGCAAGATTTTAAGACCAGAGTCCCGATCCCCCGCTCGGTCACCCTATGCTTTCGGATGCCGCCCGGTTCGTCCTACTCAAGATCTTTTACACCATCTCCCAAGCTGAGTCCGGGCTTGGTTAACCTGCATCTTTTTTTTTGTGCTGAGATGGTGGCTCCCCATGGATCGAGACAAGTGGTATCTATCGATCGAGGTGAGACTTTATGGAATGTGAAGATGCCTCCTAAGCAAATAATGTCGTGCCGTGGGGCTGATCATGATATGAGGAACATCAATAAATCCAAGGGTCTTGCGAGCGCCCTCTGCTCAAGGACAGCGGCAGCAACTGCGGCAGCGGTCCACAAAATGTAGCCATGCTGAAAGTCAAGCAATGGTCCTCATCCGCGCAGTGCGGGGACGAGGCCGCTTTTCAAAGATGATAAACACGTAGTGCCGACAGGCCGATCGTGATATGATGATGTCGGCAATGAGAAGCCAACCTGAAAATCAAGCAACGGTCCTTATCCATGCAGTGCGGGGACGAGGCCGGTCTTCAAATATGATAATGGCACCGTACCAGAGGGTCGGTGGCCATGTAATGAGGTCGCCACTGGGGGCTGATCGGAAAGGAACAAGCAACGGTCCTTATCTGCGTAGTGCGGGGACAAGGCCGGTCTTCAAATATGATAATGGCACCGTACCAGAGGGTCGGTGGCCATGTAATGAGGTTGCCACTGGGGGCTGATCGGAAAGGAACAAGCAACGGTCCTTATCTGCGCAGTGCGGGGACAAGGCCGGTCTTCAAATATGATAATGGCACCGTACCAGAGGGTCGGTGGCCATGTAATGATGTCGACGCTGGGGGCCGATCAAAAACAAATAATCAACGGCCCATCGCCGCAAGGAGCGGAGATGAAGCCGATCTTCCAAATGATCATCACGCCGAGCCAGGAAGATCAGTCGTGGTGAAAGGAAAGTCAGCGCCGGGAGGCCGATCTGTAAATCCGAGGGTCTTACAGGCGCCCTCAGCCCATAATGTTGCTCTAGGTGCCGAACGGCGGAGGCCGGATTGCCAGTCAGGTAGCGTAATCTGAAAGCTCGTGTATCGTACAGTCCATAGGACTTCCCTTCATGTGTTGTGGCATCTATACATTTGTAGTCTCTTCTTTTCTCAATCGTCCATGATTCCTTCTACACACTAGTAACCTTTTTCTTTTTCTTCTTTTTTTTTTTCTTTTTTTTTCTTTTTTTTTTGTCCGAATCACGAATATCTCTGCGTTTCACAATCTCCCCGTCCGAACTGGTCGAACGGCTCTAAATGTAAATATTCCTTCTTTTTGTTGCCAATCATGAGCGTCTCTGCGCGTCATGTCGAACGTCATGAACATCTCTGTGCGTCATGATCTCCCTGTTCGGGCTACCCGAACGGCTTTGAATAAATGTGATTCTTTTCTTGTTGCCGGGCATGAACGTCTATGCGCTTCATGATCTCCCCGTTCGAGACTATCGAACAAATTTCACTGCACAATAAGCATGGTGATACGGCCGAACGGCCGGACAACATATACAAGTATATACAATTTTACACATGTATAACATTTCCCTTTTATTTTTATTTTTCATCCATGACTATCGGCCGAAGCAGTAATGATAACCCTTGGCCTAGATTCCGATCTATTAGAGTCCACGACTCGAAACACCTAGTGTTTTGTTGGGTATTCAAGTACGTATTTCGCCCCGTACTGGGTATAGTTGCCGTTCAGGCACTTCATGCCAATCGGGACTGTTGAGGTTTATTCCCGAACGATCCGAAAGCCCAACACAAGCCTTGGATATTGTAGGGATCTTGGGTAAGGTTGAAATGTGTGTAAAATATAAAATAGTGAAATGGTATCCAACTCAAGAACTTACTTTTATTTAGTAATTAAGCAATTACACTGAAAGTACCCGAACGGTAGCTGAATATGAGATTACAAGGATGGGAGATGTAAATCTATCGTTAAGTTCTGAGTATTTTTTATCCCCTCCTCTTACAATGATCTAAACATGGATATTTATACTGAAATGGGGATGGGTAAGGTGGACACGTGGTGGAATCTAGTAGGCTATCACCTCTGCCATGTAAGCACCCATGCCCCCACTTGCTGCCGCCATGATCCAGCATTAAATGCGGCCTCCACTTGATGGTTGCCCGTTCGGGCAGGGTGTTCGGTGTGTGGGACCCCGTCATAGGTGTTATCCTGCTTAGGAACACATCCCGAACGCCGATCGGTATCTCCGCCATAGGTGATTTGGCATAATTGTTTCCTGGAATGTTCCAAGTATAACTTTTATCCCGAATGCCGTTCGAGAGTTCTTTTGGACTGCCTTGGGCCCGCTGTTTCTTCCTGGATTCGGGCCTAGGGATATTGGGCCTGGACCCAATATCCCAACACTAGTCCCCCACTTCCTATGTTTCGAACGGTAGTGAGAGCATAAGGAAGTAGAAGATTATTGCCCGAATGCTGTTCGGGTGAGTATCGGATGGCATTCCGCCGGTTCCCGAGGCAAATTTTGACGGTTATTTGCAACCGTCGTTTCACTTCTCCGATAAACGCCATGATTACCTGAGAAGCATTCTCTGTGTGACACGTGTCTCTGATATCATTACGAAAAACGTGTCCTCTTCTGATTGGCAGCTGAATCGGCGTGACAGAGTATAAATAGGCTCTTCTGGGTTTGATTCTGGGTTTCGAAACTTTGCATCTTCGGCTTAGTACTCTGCCTTCTCTCTAGAGCTTCTTCCGCTGCCTCTGTTCAGGTATCCTTCGAACTTCCTCCTACTGTTTAGTTCCCTCGTTCGGTGAGAATGGCACCCCTTCGTTCATCTGAACCCTCTACTTCCGGTACCGCCATCCCAGAGGAAAACCCCAACGATGTGCTGCGAGTCGTCCCTATTCCGGCGGAAGTTGACGGTGATGATTCCTCTTCCTCCGACGTTTACCCTGATGGCACCAAATCGGGGGATGAATTGGAAGTTATGAAAGCCGGTCCTCCAAGCGGCGCTTCCTGCCATAAGCTTGACCTAGCCCTGATTAGGCTTAGGCGCCAAAAGCTCACGGCCCAGAACCGGGCCCAAATCCAGATGTTACTTCCTGATTCGGTGAACTTCCGCCTCCAATCGGGGCTCCACCCAATGCGCCACTTCCCAGGGATGGTCGTGGTCCATTTTGATTCCCTTAAGGCCGGCCTTAGGTTCCCCCTTCACCCCTTCTTCGTTTCCCTCTTAAATTATTATAATATAGTGTCAGCCCAAATAATGCCGAACTCCTACCGGGCAATGGCTGGTTTTATTTGTCATTGTGTGGAAGCTAAGGTGACCCCTTCCTTAGATCTGTTTCACTATTTTTTCTCGATCATCCCACAACAAGCCCAGGGTTATCTAGTCGCGAGTTCCCGATCAGGTCATATTTTGTTCTCCAAGGCTCCCTCCTCCATCAAGGAATGGAAAGATCGGTTCTTTTTTGTATCTGTCCCAACCGGCCTGATCCCAAGAAAGTGGAACGCCTTTCCGCCAAAGTCCCCCGAACCGTTCATCTCTGAAGACCTTAGCCAGGATATCATTGCTGTGGAGGCGGGTGGTTGCTTCCAGATTATGCCATATCTGACTCCCGAACGGCTTATTAAAGCTGGGATAGGTACTGCCCGTATTCCTGGACTTACTTGACTGAAAACCAAGTACCATGGCCCGGGCGGTCCTTCCTGTGTGATATAATTTTTTAATCCACGTGTGAACCGCTCGGTACTAATTTGTTCCTTTGTCTTTTCAGCTCCAAAGCAAGGCGAATCCTCAGATTCCGAAGGAGACAACCCCGAACCACCGGCAATGGATGACAGCAGGCTTTTTACCGTTGGTTTTGACGATGAGCCACCAACCTCTCCTCCCAAGCAGCAGAGGAAGACAAAGAGGAAGAGGTTGAGGAAGGCCGATCAGGGGACATCCTCCCAATCCGCCCCCGTCGTCCCCGAGCAGTCTGAACCTGTTCGGGATGTAGAACCTGTGCAGCAGGTTGCCCCTGAACAGCAATCTTCACATGCTGATATGCTGATGGATCAGCTCTTCTCTGATCAGCAGCCTCACCACTTTTCTGCTGAGGAATTGGCCGCCAACCAGGCTGATTTGGCGAGCCAGTTTGAGCAGATCTCCCTTCAAGATCCCGCTCATGGAATGCTGGAAAGGGGAGGCTGTCCAGCAAGCCAGATTTGGTCCACATCGGGCTTCCTCAATGGGCATAACCTTCCTCCGATGCCGGTCGAGGAGGCCGAAGAGTGTATTGCCTTGGCTGCCCTGAAGGTAACTTCTTATCACCTTTCTTTTTTCGGTTGTTCATTAATTTACCAGGTTCTCATTTCTTATTTGTACTCGATCAATAGGTAGGGATCTACAGCCTGAAACTCAGAGAGGCCAGGCAGGCCAAGGAACAAGGGCTGCTGATGGCCAAGGAGACGGCTGAACAGGCATCAGAGGCCGAACGCCGGGCTTTTGCCGAGGAGCGGAGGAAGCTAGAAGCTGAGGCTGGGGAGCTTCGTGTCAAGGTGGGCTCTCTCCAGGCCAAGATCGCGGCAGCTGAGGCCGCTCAGGTCAAGTTTTCTGAGGCCCCTCCTCAAATACCGGACGGCCCGGCTGAAATGTTAGTTGATCTATCTGCCGTTCGGGATCAATTCAAAGCTTCCGAGGAGTTTCTGGCTCTAAAGGAAGAATACGCCACCGAACAGCTCCCTGCTGTTTTCGGAAGGCACCTGGAGAAACTGGCCGGGGAAGAGCGCCAGAAGGAGGGGGTCAGGGTGCTTGACCAGCACCCGATCACCAAAGAGTGGGCCGATAATCTTGCCCGGGGAGTCTACAATTCAGGTTGTCAACACATGCTCCAGCCTCTCCTCCCCCTCCTAGAAAAACAGATGGGCCGTTCGGTGCAGCCCTCTGACTTGCCCTCTGACCTCCATCCGGGTCATCTGAACGCCCTGATGGCACAAATGAAAAAATGCCGGCGAGCCCTGGGGATGGAGGTCGTGCAGGTTGTTGACGAGGAAGCTGACGAAGACGATGATGAAGAGGGTGAGGACCATCCCGAACAAATAGATTAGACCTCCATCTGTACCCCTTTTTTCTTTGAATTAGTATTTTTTGTACTTTCCGGCCAGTAGAGCCGATGAATACACCACTTGTTTTGCAACTTCTGTCTTTGTAATTTCTTTTCCTGTACTCCATACTTGTTTTCTCACCCATCAATTTGCCTTTGTAATACATTTCCTGTTGCTTTCTTCCTGTTGACTCCATAGTTTATAGCGATCAGATTTGCCGGTTTGCGTCACCCCTTCGCTAAGTCCAGAATTTAGGATTTTAATATTGATCGACCTGTTTATTCGATATCATTCATAATGAACTCCATAGTTCATTATGGAGTATAAACTATGTTGCTTCCTGTTTTTTTTTTTTTTTTTTTTTTCAATCGTAGAGGTTCGTGAACTTTGTTGATTTCAACCCGTTCGGGTGTTCTCCTTGTTAAATCTAGAACTCAGGATTCGATAATCTTGTTAACACATGTTGCGTATAATGAACCGTTCAGTCTGCATCTGCCATATTCTTCCATGTTAGATAACCATACTGTTCGGGTACGCCCATCATTTTATCACAATGCTGAATTTTCTTCTCGTTCGGGGAAACGTTTGTAGCCCTTTTTTCTTATCCTGTCCGGGGAAACGCTTTAAGAGGTTCGTGAATTTTGCTGATCTCAACCCCGTTCGGGTGTTCACTCACCCCAAAGGGTGCTTTAACTTCCTTCAACCGCCTTGACACGTGTCTATTATTCATTCGAATTCCCGGCGGTTGTATTTCCTTATATAAGGATGCAGCCATTTTGTTTCAGTTTTTTCTGCTGCTTCCGAATTCTCTCAAGCTTTCTCTCTCTAGAACTTTCTCCGTTATTCATAATTAATGTCTACCTTTTCTGGTTCGTCAGACTCCGAAGATATGGCACCTACTTTGATTCGCCTTTCGAGGGGAAAAGCTCACCCCAAAGATCAAGGCACATCTACCCGATCGTTGGGCTCTAACGGGTCTTCCGCCTCACTTCATCCCGAACAGCCCCTCCCTGATGATGGATGTCAGTCGGGAGATGACCTAGCCATCTATAACAAGGGCATGCCTGAACGGCCCCCCCCGTTATAGTTTGAACTTCCACTGCATCAGGAAGCAACGTTAACGCCTTCCTGCTGATGCAGAACAGACACTCCGCCAATTACTTCCCCCACCCCGTCAGTTCAATGCGGGGTTCATCAAACATCCCATGCGACACCGTCCGGGATGTGTGGTTGTGCACATGGATGCTTTGGCCGCTGGTTTGAGGTTCCCTTTGCACCCGTTCGTAGTGGAGTTCCTCCGCCGGGTGTCAGTACTGCCGGCACAGTTCGTGCCCAGCACCTACAGGATCCTGAATGGATTCATTGTTTGGTGCCATGAGTTGGGGATTGCCCCTAGCGCCGATCTCTTCTTGCACTGCTATGGCGTTCAGCCCTATTGGACCACCGGGTACCTGCGGCTTGTAGCCCGTCCTGGCCGTTCGCTCTTCACTGATAACCCCACCCCTCCGGAAAGATGGGAGGAAAGATTTGTGTTCGTACACGTGGGGTCGCCGCTTCCTTTCCCTGATCGGTGGAACACCTACCCCGTTCAGGATGCCTCCCCAAGGGTGGATGCAACTATCGTCTGCCAGTACGAAAGGCTCCGTCTGGCCGGTTCCAAGAACCTGCGGTCCTTCTCGACTCCTGCTAAGATGCTAGCTGCTGGCATTGGTATGTTCCTTCCCTTATTTTGTCCGTTCGGTGTATTTGTCAATCTCTTATTCATTTCCCTTTGTTCTTTCCTGTAGGTGTGATTCCCCCCGTCTCCATAAAGCGTCCTGCTCCTACTCCTTCTACCGCCATAGTCAGCAAGGGAAGGGAGAAGGCTATTCAGCCAGGTTCTTCCGCCGGCCGGGAATCTGGGCCCGTTAGCAAGCGGCCAAGGATTGAGAGCAGGGCCTTGGTCCCGGTCGATCATGTCATTGATCTGACGGACCCTTCTGTGGAGAGGATGCCACCGGTCCCCTCCCCTTCAAGGAAGCTGGGCAACAGGGGAGGTGTTGCCTCAGATAGTCTTCCGATCCCCGATCGGTTGACGGTGGAGTTTTCCGCCATGGGCCCCCGAGCCGAATGCCGGACGCTGTTCGGGCAGACTGCATCCTCCATGTGGTGCAGCACTTCCTTGAAGGCTGGAGATGGTTTCACCAACCTGACCCATTGGTCTGATTTGGTCGAAGCAGGCCATGCTGAGTCCCTTAAGGTATGCCTTTTGACTGTTCGTTTCTTCCTTTTCATAACATTTTTTGGATTTGTTCTTACTGCTGTTTCTTTTTTCACAGGCCGGTACATACTATCACTGGGCCTTCCTAGCAGCTGAACGGGAGATGACCCTCCTTCATCAGGAGCTGGACGAGAGCCAAACCCTTTTGGCTGCTGCTAGGAAGATGGCTGCAGATCTCCAAGATCGAGCCAACAAGGGTGACAAAGCCAGGGAGGAGCTGGCCGAACTGGAGCAGAGGCTCCAACGACGCGATCGGGAAATCCGTGATCTGCGTGCCAAGGTGAAGGTTGCCGAAGCTGCTGGCCTGAAAATCGAGAAGGCCAAGGGGGATAATCCCCCTGCCCCCTATGCCGCCGATGTTTCAAAAATCACCACGAAGGCAGTGATTGACTTCCAAAGGGGGAAAGGCCTGAACCTCGCCTTGGAGAATACTGCTCGGGAGTTCCTTGGCAAGCATCTGGGCGAATTCTTAGAGAGGAGCAAGGACCCATTACATGATGGCCTCAAGCTTCTTGATGAGACCCCGTCCGGCACAGCCTTCGCCAATGCTCTAGCAAGGGACACCCTTGTTAAGTGCCAGGATATGCTGGTCGACCGGAATCTGGAGGTGATCAAGGAATCGTTCGATGAGCCCTTCGACCCCAAGGAGGAAGGTTTCGATCCCTTATTCTGCCGTGCTTATCAACGGGTGATGGAGAAGAGGCAGAAGGCCAAAGATTCAGCCACTCCCCCGAACTCCAACCCGGATGCCGTGCCGGACAAGGATCCTCCCGTAGCTTAGTTATCATGTATAATTCCCGGACAGTAGTACCGAAGAATAAAGATTGATCTTTTTCCGAATGACTTGCTTCCCGAACACGCATTTTTTTTTTTTTGAACTCAGCATCATGATTGAGACGTAAGCTGTTCGGCCTGTTTCTGATCACCAAAGTTGAGGTGCAAGCTGTTCGGTTGATCTCCGCCGGTTGTTCTTTATTTCCTGAACGCACAAGTCACCAGTGTAATGCTTGCTGCGCCCCTGAGCACCATGTTTCAGATGCATGCCGTCTGGTTTATTACCGTCGACTGGTTGTTCCCTGAACGCGTAAGTCATCAATGTTAAATGCTTGCTGCGCCCCCGAGCACCATGTTTCAGATGCATGCCGTCTGGTTTATTCCCACAGACGGCGCCAATGTTGAGGTTTATTCCCGAACGATCCGAAAGCCCAACACAAGCCTTGGATATTGTAGGGATCTTGGGTAAGGTTGAAATGTGTGTAAAATATAAAATAGTGAAATGGTATCCAACTCAAGAACTTACTTTTATTTAGTAATTAAGCAATTACACTGAAAGTACCCGAACGGTAGCTGAATATGAGATTACAAGGATGGGAGATGTAAATCTATCGTTAAGTTCTGAGTATTTTTTATCCCCTCCTCTTACAATGATCTAAACATGGATATTTATACTGAAATGGGGATGGGTAAGGTGGACACGTGGTGGAATCTGGTAGGCTATCACCTCTGCCATGTAAGCACCCATGCCCCCACTTGCTGCCGCCATGATCCAGCATTAAATGCGGCCTTTACTTGATGGTTGCCCGTTCGGGCAGGGTGTTCGGTGTGTGGGACCCCGTCATAGGTGTTATCCTGCTTAGGAACACATCCCGAACGCCGATCGGTATCTCCGCCATAGGTGATTTGGCATAATTGTTTCCTGGAATGTTCCAAGTATAACTTTTATCCCGAATGCCGTTCGAGAGTTCTTTTGGACTGCCTTGGGCCCGCTGTTTCTTCCTGGATTCGGGCCTAGGGATATTGGGCCTGGACCCAATATCCCAACACTGACCATGAATGGTCCCCTAAATTAAAACACGTCACCGGGCTACGCCCTTGCGAGACGCTTCAGTCAATTTGGGCCGACCGGTAATGGACCGTCACACTCGGTCAAACCAAGCATTTAATTAACATGTTGGTGATTTTATTAATAAAACTCCGTTCGGCACTATTCTATTCGGGAATTTTAATCCCTAATACCTGTCATTAAAACTTAAAATGACAGCGAATATCTATCATTGAAGCTTCCCTCGACAATATTTAACTCGGGATATTCTAATCCCTACTAAACAAATCATGGCGACGTGTAACTAATAGTAATATTACTACATCACTTCATTTAATATTTTCATGGATGTACCGCCAATGCCGAACGGGCCCATAAGTGATTTTCAATTTTAAAATACGTCATCGGGCAACGCTTGGTGAGATGTTTCAGCTAATTTGGGCTGATTGGGGGTGGACCGATATGCCCAGTAAAACCAATCATTTAATTAAAAAATGATGGTGAACTCATTACTAGAGTTTCGCTCAGATAATATTTAACTCGGGATATTTTAATCCCTATTAAACAAATAATGGCGATGTGTAATTTACTACATCAAGTCATTTAATATTTTTATGGATGTCCGGCCTCACCGAGCGGGTCCGCAAATGCTCCGACCGCTAATTAAGGCTGATCAGGGTAAGCCAATAGCCCCCACTACAACCCATCATTTTATTTTTTTTTTAAAAAAATGACAGAGTACTTATCACCCGAGCCTCGCTTGGTATTTATTTCACCCGGGATATTTTAATCCCTGCTAAATAATGGTGATGACAACTATTCCCAACAATACTATTTGAAATTAATTAGCAAGTGAGAAAATTGTGATTCTTAGCTGGATAGGCTGAATTTCAGCTGTCAGGCCAATAAATTTGGCCCGATTAAGATTAACTTGACAAGGATAATTCGGCCTCACGGTCCATCACATTGGCTCTAATTTGACCGATCGCATCTGCATCCGGCCCATGCCATCTAGTAGTCCAGAACCAACTAGGCCCATAGGTTCTCCCTTTTGCAGTCATGAGGCCTTAGTCGATCGGCAATTCCCTGTTCGAACTTGTGGGAAGATTCGCGAACGGGCATTCCTTACCAGATGGGAAGATTCGCGAACGGGCCTTAGTCGTACTGGGTCCTCAGTGAAAGGGAACAACGGCCAAGGATGTACGGCGTTCGGGCTACTGTGCGACGTGGCTGTTCGGGAGATTCCGGATGGCAGAATCTTGGGCGGTTATGCTTATTTAGCTGATGCCTTCTGGAGCCCTCAAAATCGCGAACCAGTGCCGGTCAGGGAGGCAGCTCGAAGGTGATTCTCTACCGAAATTAAGGTGGCAGAAAATCTGGGTGTCCTGTGAGCACTTGCCCGAACGGGGTATGTAGAAATTTGAGCCCGTACTGAAGCTGTGTAGCTTCGCAGGAGCCCCTGGGTGTTCTTGGGTGATTTTGATGCGCTGGGAAATTCCTACCCGGACGGCAACTTTGCCTTCATCGGCTGTTTACTCATGACGGTGCCGGCCATAATTAGGTGGCCAGGGATTCACCTTCCTCGGCAGTTCGTCGTCCGTCGTTATCACCCGAACAAAAGCGATTACCATGTTGGGGGCGGCTACCCCGAAGACTGTTCGGGGATGTGGCTTTGCCAATCGAGTTACCAGGAGCAAGTTACATATTGCTACTGGTCAGAATTCCCGTTCGAGCCAATCAGGCAGGTTCTTGGAGTTCCCGTTCTGGACGGTGAACTGGTAGCATGGGATTCCCGTCGTTTCCAGCCATTTGCTCTGGCGTTCGGGGAGCTTCCCGTTCGGGAAGGCGGCGGCGTTAATCTTTTGGGTAAATATTAATCTGTCAAATCACTAAACAATTGTCAGGCTTTAGGCAAGTTAGTGGATTTTCGGGTCCCACTCCTCATTTTCCTCAATCATCAGTAGTTCCAGGTACGTAGTAGCAATTCTCTTTGGCCCCTCCTGCTTCGGCCTTAACATTTACTTCAGGATGTGGGTCAACTATGTCCATGGACAAGCTACTGGAGTCTTTCGAATGGGTTTGGAGGTCTTCCCCCTTCCATCGTCGTTGACTGGCGAGTTAGCTACGTTGGAGCAGATCTGAAATTCCAATTCCACCCTTTGTGGTCGGGAAACAGCTCATCTTCGACGGCAAATTTTTGTAGAACACGAACATGATCTTTTCATTCTTTTCCCACATATTTATTCCCGTAGATCCGAAAGCCCAACATAAACTTCGGATATTAGGGACGATGGATTCGGTATAAAAGTGAATAATAAATATAAAAGGTGTATGAACTAGCCATTTTTACGTGGAAACCCGGAAAGGGAGAAAACCACGGGACTTTTTAGGCTAACGTCCAAGCCCGCTCTTTCTCATTAATATCCTCCCATCACTCAATACATATTTTGCACTCCATTAATGGAGGTTCAACAAGCTTGCTAATCTCTAAAGAAGAAATACAGTGAATGAATGTATGGGGGAGGAGAGCCAAAATCAGATCCTTAATCAGGAGGCTTTGCCTCCTATTTATAGAAGGGGAGGGGTTTTTTTAGGGCTATGCTAATGGGCCAATAGGCCTAAATGGGCCGGTTGGGCCTAGCTGACTGGGCTCCTTATCGGGACGATGCCTCGGGCCTCAGAATAGTAGTAGGCCGGGATATTATTACCCAACACCTTTATTTTTTTTAAACCTTGTTTAGTGCAGCATAATTCTCTTCCCCTAAAGCCAGAACCACCATCCCTCTTTCCTAAAGTAGAGTATCCAACTCCAAATCCAATCTTATAAGCATAGTTATTATACAATTCAAATGCTTCAGCCTCTGAAAATACAATTTTACCAAGCAACTAAGAAAATTCAGCTTCTTTTACTGATATGGTTTCAACAGAAACAGGATCATGACAACGTTCTACAGTCTCAAAACTAGATGAACGCTCAGCTGCAAAAAAATAAATAAAGGGAAAATAAACTAAAGATATAAAATTCCAGTAAAAGAAAGGGAAACAATGTACGTAAGAAACAAGCAATACTTGGCCCGAAAGAAAGAGATTCTGTTGTACAAACAAGATTTTGGTCTTCACTGAAGTTAACAGCAGAATCCAAGAAATCTAGATGCATGGAAAAACATTACAAGAACATCACAACACAAAATCAAAATATAAACAGATTGATTAAAGAAGAACAAAATGTATGAGTTGCAATTAGAAAGTATATTACCGGATTGAATTCCAACAATTCCACCTCCAGAATCTATATGTCACGCCCCGGACCTACCGGACACGTCAACAACCCGCCGTACAGTACGAATAGTCAACCGCAGTCCAACTCATCCATACTATACTAGGCGTCTTGAATATCATTCACAATAGTACATCCATAAACAACATAATGTAAAACAATCATTTAAATCAGCGGAAACGTTTAATACAAGTGTTTATGCCACACTTCGGCAACATGGGCATACAAGCCCCAAATAATTAATCAAAATAATATCCATGAGCATTAATTTAATGTTTTAAAAACAGAACGGAGGAAGCACGAACCACGTCTTCTCTCCCTGAGCTCCCCGAAGCAACGGGCGATGGTAGCAAGCTTTACTCCCTACCTGAAACTGTGAGGTGGCCTCCCCCGTGAAGGGGAGGTCAGTACTTGGAAGCATTTGACAAGTACAATGACAACTATACCAAGTATAATCAATGTTTCAATTTCTAAGACCCTCAAAATAGGGTGATATCATAGTATAAATAATAATTTATATTTCCCACTTATTATCTCTATAATAAGTAAATTTATTTATTTGTCGGCACACGGCCCCTTTCATATATTTCATTATACCCGTCGTTAGCACGACACCGCCCGTAGGTCTTATCATCCTTTACGAGACTTGTCACCGCTCTCCGAGGCCTCACCGGGTCCCCGGGCCGGAGTCCAACATCCCGCCCCTGAACTCATACCCATCGTCCCGTAGGAAGGTAAGGTCCATTCGGGGTCCTATCTTATGTGTTACCGCTGTCGGGAGCCTCGTAAGGTCTCCGGTTCGGATTCCACCCTAACCCGTGATCACGATGTAAGTCCATGCTATCCAACCCCGCTCTCTAGAGTCGGGAAGGGCCATGGTCCTTACTAATTACCAATACTCTATCGGCTAATCCTTAAAGACTACCGAATACACCCGTAGGCCAATCCTATTCCTAGGATCAATTTATTATTCACTTTATCTTGGGTATCCCTTAAGGCCTACCCCTAGCATCACTTATCCACCTTAGTATCTCTTAAGACTACTTAAGGCTCAAACAATTTACAATCCAAACCTTGGATCAATTCTAACATATTTCAATTCCAAAACCCCGACCTAGTATCATTATACTAGTCGGATAAATTCCAACAAAATCTCATTTCAGTTCATAGTCATATAGACAATTCTCAAACTAATTTTCCATTGAAAATATAGTTCATATCAATATACAAAATATAATCTTTAATCACTCATATATCCTTATATGAAGTTAAAATTATATTTCAACATAATATTCATAGTTAATCCCTTCATCAAGCCAAAATGCTCATATTACATAATCATACACAATTTATCCTTAAATTTGTATATTATGCTCCTTTATTCATTGACAACAATATTTTCATTTAGGCATTATTAATCATTAATAATCCATGAAAATAACATTTAATTACTTTAGGTAATCTTACGAAATTAACCCAAAGATTATAAACAACATAGTCAGCCATCCTCACCTTATGAAGTGCTGAATTAGTTGCCTTTGTTAAGCCCTCCGATCGATCCCCGTTCTAAACCGGTTGAAAATGAAAAATCTGGGCAGTCAGCAAAAGCCGGGCGGCTTTCACGAAAGCTGGGCGGCTTTCGTGGTCTGCAACTACGAACAGCTTCCTTGAAGTGGCGGTTTCCGGTGGTTTCAACTCCTATCGATTCCACGACTCTTCTAAGTTAAATACCACCTCTTTACAACATTATTTCACACTTTTAAACGTGTAGAACTCGTGGATTAATCCACCATATGATTTCTTAAAAATCATATCAAATAAACTAGTTAAAAGATAAGAGTTGTGTTCTTACCTCTCCTTCTAGTTGATTTCTATTGGGTTTCCTTAGCTTTTGCTTCTCAAAGTTGTGGATAGTATGAAGCCTCTTCCTTGAGCTCTCTCCCTCCCTAGCTTGATCGAATGATACTAATGATGGGAGGCAACTCCTCTCAATCAATTGGAGATAAGGCCAATGGGTAGGACATGAGGCATGGGCATTTGTCTCAATGAGGCTTCCTCAGCCTAGCACGCCCCTCCCTTGATATTTTGTCCCCCTTCCAATTTTGTTTGGGTCCAATTAGCTTGTAGAATACCCCAAGTGGGTGTGGAAAGTTCCTCCCAATTATTCCCGCTATTTCTGGCCGGTCGGGTCAAAATAGCGCTCGGGTTGTCCAAATATTTTTATCAACTTCGGTTGGCGTTTTATTGGACTCCTATAATTATTATGATAACCCAACTAAATATTTGGTAGCCCATTCTCATATAATGGACCCGATATATAATTTAATTAATTGTGCATTAATTAAATATGCCGATCAATTACACGAATTATATTCGCTAGGAAAATTAAATTACATGTCGAATTTCAATTTCAAGTACATCCGGGTGCGGTGTCACAAGTTCACCCCCCCTTAACGGGAATTTCGTCCCCGAAATTCGCAAATGCTTATTCAAAAAGGAATGCATACTGTTCCTTCATCAAGGCTTCTGTTTCCCAAGTTTCTTCTTCAACTCGGTCACTTTTCCAAAGGATTTTAACCATTGGAACTTTCTTGCTCCTCAACTTCTTTACTTGCCTATCAAGTATCCTTACCGGTCGAACGGCATAGTTCAAGTCCTCACGTATTTCCACGGGTGGTTTCTCTAACACGTGAGACGGATCCGGCACATATTTCTTTAGCATAGACACGTGGAACACGTTATGTATCTTCTCCAATTCTGGAGTCAACTGCAATCGGTATGCTACGGCCCCAATTCTTTCAAGAATCACAAATGGCCCTATGTAGCGTGGGTTAAGTTTCCCTCGGCTTTGAAAACGGATGATCCCTTTCCAAGGTGAAACTTTCAGAAACACCTCATCTCCCACCTTAAACTCTAAGGCTCTCCGGCGTTTATCGGCATAGCTCTTTTGTCTATCCTGGGCTGCCTTAAGCCTATCACGAATCATCTTCACCTTTGTCTTGGTGATCTCCACCAATTCTGTGCTCTCAAGTTTGGCCATGCCAACTTCGTCCCAACACAAAGGCGTACGACATCGCCTCCCATACAATGCCTCGTATGGAGGCATGCCGATACTTGCCTGATAACTATTGTTATAGGCAAACTCAACAAGTGCTAAATGGTTGTCCCAACTTCCTTGGAACTCCAATGCACAGGCTCTCAGCATATCCTCTAAAATCTGTATAACCCTCTCGGATTGCCCATCTGTCTGGGGATGAAAAGCAGTGCTAAACTTCAATCTTGTCCCCATAGACTCTTGGAACTTCGGCCAAAATCGTGATGTGAATCGTGGATCCCTGTCGGATACAATGGTTATAGGAACCCCATGTAGCCTCACGATCTCATCCACATACAATTTGGCTAACCTCTCCAGTGCATAGGTGGTGTTGATAGGTAGAAAATGTGCACTCTTCGTGAGCCTATCAACCACAACCCATACGGCATCATAGTTCTTCACAGTCCGTGGTAGCCCTACCACGAAATCCATAGTCACGTGTTCCCATTTCCATTCTGGAATGGAAAGTGGCTGCAATAACCCCGCTGGATGCTGATGTTCTGCCTTGACTTGCTGACAAGTAAGGCATCGACTGATGTACTCGGCTATTTCCCTCTTCATACCAGACCACCAGTAACTTTCTTTCAAGTCACGATACATCTTCGTGCCCCCTGGGTGCATGGCATAAGCCGATGAATGAGCCTCCTCTAAGATGGACTTTCGGAGCTCCCCATCTGCCGGCACACACACTCGGTCACGAAATAATAAGAGACCGTCATCTCTTTCCCTGAAGTCCTCCACTGGTCCCGCTTGCATGCGTTCTCGGATCCCTATGATTTCCTCGTCAGTTTCCTGACCCTTCTTGATCTCATCAAGCAAAGTAGGTCTCACCTCAAATCGTGCCAATAAGGCTCCATTACTGGATACCTCCAGTTGGGCTCTTAAAGCCCTCAAGTTAGCTATCAATGCCCCAGCTGAGCTCTTCCGGCTCAAGGCATCTGCCACCACATTGGCCTTGCCTGGATGGTACTCAATCACCAGGTGGTAGTCTTTTATCAACTCCATCCACCGTCTTTGCCTCATGTTTAACTCTTTCTGAGTAAACACGTACTTCAAACTCTTGTGGTCAGTGTATATGTGGCATGTCTCCCCGTAGAGATAATGTCTCCATATCTTGAGTGCAAACACCACTGCCCCGAGCTCTAAATCATGAGTAGGATA